CATTGCTTAAATCTTCCTCCTTTTCTGGAAAATTACCTCTTGAATTCGTAGGAACCCTGTAATTAACTGCTGTCTTTGTTTTACAAACTGCAGTATGACGAAGAAAAAAAATCATTGGAATTTTTTTTTTTTTTGTCACCAACTACATTATAATTATCGCACAAAAGAAACATGTATGTCAGGATTTCAAGAAGCAAACTTCACCTTTGAAAGCCGATGATTCGTGTTTGCGTCTACAAAAAACCCCCACCCAAAACAAAAAACGATGATTCATTGTGAGTGTACCTGCTGAAGCAGTTTATTCAAGGCGATCGCTTGCATCCAGTAAATAGAGATATCATCCTGCCAGTTTCTTTAACAATATAAACTACCTCTGTTTTTGCCACCAGTCTTGGAAACAAGAGTAGCCACAACTTCTGTTTCTGTTAGGATTTTCTAGTCATAATGAGGTACAGATTCAAAGGCATAGTTGGAATACTGATCAAACTATGTTATTGTGTCTCATATGGAAGTGTTTTATTTTTTGAAAATAAAGGGCAGTTATAGTGAATGTGTTTTTTGTTTTGTTTGTTTAAACTATTTACACTCCTTTACAGTCAAGTCCTAAATATGTAATCACGTGGAACCTTGAACATGCTGGGATTTTTAACTTGCTCGACTAGCTGAGCAGCATTTGCCGGAATCAGTCAGTGTATAAACTAGATGTTTTCCTATCTAGTCACTCTGGAGGCGGACACCATCATGATATCAACGAAGAAATCTGTCTCTGTGGAAGAGATATCCTGTCCTCAGTGCTCCAACATTTATACCTACCCTGTCCTTTTACTATGCGGACACAACGTTTGCAAACTTTGCCTGCACAAGTTCTGGGAGTGGAAAAAGAGTCAAGAATGTCCCGTGTGCGGCATTGAGTCTTCCTCTGGGATGCCCGCTGTCAACCAGGATCTGAAGTTAATCGTGGAGGAGTTTCAAAACAAAAAGGCCATGGATCAGGAGATTTGTGTGCTTCATAACGAGAAGCTGAAGGTTTTTTGCGACAATGATGAGGTTCCCATCTGTCTCGTGTGCCAAATATCAAAGGACCACAAAGTGCACAAGTGCTGCCCAGTGGAGGAAGCAGCTCAGCAGAAAAAGGTATAGTATGGATGAAAACAAGGAGGAATCAAACATGGTAAGATAACAGTGTGATAAGCAAGACAAGTCTGGCTACCTTCTGGCTGAGGATAGGGAGATTTTTTTCTGTGTGTGTGTGTGTGTGTGTGTGTGTATGTAAAGTATCAGAACATAATGACCAGAATTGTACCAACATTGTATCTTAATTTGCTATGAAAATGAAATTTAGCTATTCAGTCAGGCATTTTCAAAGTGTTCTTCATATTCTCATTTTAGACAGAAATTTCTAACATCCTTGGGTCCTTAAGAAAGAAAGTAAGAACAATGAGTAAAACAAAACACCAATGGGAGGAGATCAAAACCTATATAAAGGTAAAAGCTTTTGAGATTATTTTTTTCTTGGATAATTTCACCATTTCCACTGTTTTAATCTTAATGTTGAGCTCTTAGGCTACCTTTTTCCTGTAGGGATGGAAAAGTCCCTCCTTAGCAAACACTAACCAGAATAACCAGCCTGGTCCAATGTTACAGACTCAAAGTGATGAAATCGAGACGGTGATAAAGGGGGAATTTCTGCAGCTTCACCAGTTCCTCAAGGATGAAGAAGACATGAGGCTGAGAATGCTCAAACAGGAAGAGAAAATAAAAATGCAGGTCATGTGTAATAAGATTGAAGACATAGAAAAGGAGATCCAGGCTCTCAACTCCACCATCAGCAAAGTAGATATCATCCTCAGAGCTAAGGATTTGCCATTCTTACAGGTACAATCTACTGATCATGGACTTATATCTTTGATAAAATAGTCAATATTAATTTCACGGAAATTCTAAGTCAACATGTTCTCTTTTCAGAATATGTGGATTTTTGACATTTAAATTAAAACTAGGTGAATTAGTGGATACAGGCTCACAGGAAATGACACCGACCTCTGAAAAATCCACAAAAAGCAAGAAGTGGAGCATTTAAATTGATGGTAGAATTGAACCATCTTTTAATCCATGTGAACTCCACACAGCAGTTTGGTGCTAAAGAGAATATTGTAAACGTTCCAAATGGAAAATTTGGAAACTACTGATCACTCGGAGGGAACAAAGAAAATCTAAAATTTTCAATGGGTCATGATTGCCATAAATGGTTAGAAGTTACCAGAATCCTCTTAGTTTTAAATATGGGCTGCACCCAAATGCATAACATACATTGGTTGGTAAACGTATTCCTGCCAATTCAGGTTTTTCCACATTTTGCCACATTACAACTACAAGTTCTGGTGTATTTAAAAAACAAAAGATTTTGTAGCATGAGTGGGCTTTATTGGCAGTAATTGGCAGAGAAGGGAAGAAAACAAGTACAACGTGTTTCGGAACAGCTCGGAGAATTGCAGAAATTTGGATCAACACTAGAACTTGGTGCAGATGTGCGCTTGTAAAAATTGCTTGAGAGTGAGATTTTCAGAAACAGCTTAAACTATTCTTACCGTGAAAATCGTTGGGTTCAACACAAAGTATTTATTTTTCAAATCCGGTCATTAATGGGATCAGCGCTGTTTACTTCAATGCAAAAAGAGTGCAACCATTCATTACACTTAGGTTGTTCCAGGCGTCGTCACGGAAACAGTAACCCACATCCCGTTTTTGTTGCTGACAATAAACATAATTAAATTCTAGACCAAGAAAACAGAAAATCGACAATTCACAGTACTTTGTTTTTAGATGGCTTAATGTTTTTAGATGGAATTTGAATTTTGCGGCTTTCAACTTGTAACAGCCGTGTGGAAATGTTTGGAAGTCAGATTTAAAAGTGACACGTTTCAGTTTTCAGATTTTGTTTTTGCAAAACAATTAAGAGAACCATATAATACTTTTCCTTTAAATCTACAGTTGTGCAGCGGATCTTTCACATTAAATCCCAGCAAAACTCACCACAGTTTGTGGCTCTAATTTGACATTTTTTCTACAAGTGGCTGTAAAAGGATGTGCTGTTTTAGGAATAAAATAAAATTGATATGTAATAATACACATCCAAATATGGGTTGTACAAAATACTGTGACATTGTGATGCTGACAGGAGGAAGTCAGAAATGCTGCTTGGGTGAACAAAAACTTTAAGCACATGGTGCAGGCCTGTAAAAAAAATGATAAATTAAGTTTATGCAGATTATAAAATGGTCAAAGAGTAAAGTCATATCCAGACTAAACATACTTAACTAAGGACCTGTTTTACCTGTGCATTTGCTCATGATTGCCTTGTGTAGCATACCTATCAGCAGAGGTATAATTAGTGTTTCCATGATGACTCTGGATGTTTTTCCAATGACTGCATATAGAATGCATACAATCGTTTTGCTAAAAAAAGTGTCTTCAACGTGTTTTTTTTTTTTTTTACTTCATGTTTAGGAATACAAGCGAACAAAGCAAAGGTATGTACAAGCTCTCATCTGCAAAAATCAGTAATAAATCTTTCTATAAACCAATGTTGGTATGATTTTCACATGTTTCAGCGTCAAACGCAAGATCCAGGAACCTGAGACCATGAGAGACATTTTGATTAATTCTGCCAAGCATCTGGGAATACTCAAATTTACCGTTTGCCAGAAGATGTTGAAAAATGTCAAATATGGTAAGCGCATTTACCATTAGGTGTACAAAACCACTGATTAACCTATTTTTAAAAAAGTTTTTTGTATATTCATTAAACAGTCACTATGTTGTGACAGTTTAACATAAATGTAACCTGAGAAGAGATCACATCCTCCCAGTGCTGAGAAATGCGCCATGCCGATCAAAATCAACCAATCAGAGCCAGGAGGAGGGTCTTAGCACCATCAATCAAGCTCATAAACACACTGCTAAATGTGCTAATGGTGGAGAAACAACAAACCATTGAAGGAACACCGTTTATCCCCTGTTATCGGTGGTTATGCTAACTAGCCTTAGCATTCAGGACGGGCTCTGCTGACAGGGAGAAGTTGTGCGGTAGCAGAGAGCAAGGGAGGAGCTGATTGACAGCACCAAGACCCTCCTCCTGGCTCTGATTGGCTGCTTCTACTTAGCGCTGGGAAAAGGCAGAGGAGCTCAATTTTTTTCACAGATTATCCGTCTCATACTATTGTCACGTCATAACTGTTCCAACAAATACGTGAAATATTTTTTTAAATAAAAGGTTACACACTCGGGCTTCAACTGAACTTCCTGTTTTGCAGCTTCGGTCGTTCTGGACTCGAACACGGCCCATTCCAATCTGAAGCTGACCCAGGAGCTGACCAGTGTGCAGTACAGCAACAAGCTGCTTCTGCCCGACAACCCGGAGCGCTGCACCAGCCGCATGTGTGTGCTGGGCGCCACCGGGTTCACTTCCGGGAAGCACAGCTGGACCGTAGAGGTGGGCCACAGCAAAGACTGGTTCGTAGGGGTGGCGCGTGAGTCCATCAAAAGGAAAAGCACCACCTTCCTGAGCCCCGAAGAGGGTTACTGGGTGATGGGCCAGTGCAGCAAAGATTCCCTCTGGGCTCAGACCTCGCCTCGCACCAGGGTGTCGGTGAAGCAGATGCCGGAGAGGCTTACCGTGCAGCTGGACTGCGACAAAGGAAGGGTAGTTTTCACCAATGCTGCCGACTCAGCTGTGATATACACGTTCAAAGACAAATTCACAGAGAAACTCTTCCCATACTTCTCTGTTGGGTTGTGTGAGGACTGGAAAAACTCAAGCCCACTCACAGTCTGCGCTCAGACAATGAAAGTGGTTCCAGAGAAGGCCTAGGAAGTGAAGTGGGATTGCATGGCGTTGGGTCTTTAAGTGACAAAAACAAAAGAGCAGAAGTAAATGTAATTCTTTTTATATAAAATTAAAACTAAGCAACATTCTGTATCAAATGAGGGACATTGGAGTATTTTGAGTTGAATATTTGAGCTGTTTTATTTAGAACAAAGTCTTCACATTCAATAAACTATAGAGGTTATTTTAAGACATTAAGTGTCCTTCTCCTTGTTCTTTGATTTTCTTTGTGATGCCATATCTTTCAGCTTAGAATCCAGTTTTCTTTGTAGGTACACTTTCTTATTAGGGTCCAACGATTTGTCTTTCTTCCCACTCCCGGCATAAAGAACCCCCTCTTTGCTTATTCTCATCCGAGCGTGAGACTTTGCCTTATCTCCACAGCCATGAACCTACAACAACAAAACAAAACGGCACTTAGAAAACAGCAATACACTGGAATATCGCTGAAAAGAACAAAGTTTCAGGAATTTAACTAAAATGTGAAATTCTTTGGTTGTTCTCCATCAAAACATTCAATGATATTATTTTTTAAAAATGGGACAATATGTGTTAATGAACATTTACATGGTGGCTTATTTCCTTCTCTAGTTCCATTGGCAGGTTGATGTTAAAGCACAATGCTAAATACAGAAATAAAAAAATCACAAAATAACACGACGGAGTGAGAAATGCATAAAACAATCGTAAAAATCTATACATCTTTACATACGCTCAATGTTGACATTTTTGGGTCTCCGAGAGCCCGTTTTTAAGATATTTTTTAAATGAGGTGAGAAGAGAGAGGTCCCTTATGTTACTTTGGATTGTATTCCAAGTACGAGAACCACAATAGGAAAAAGTAGCTTGACCCAAAGCAGTTTTCCAAAGTGGTAAGTCTCTTCATGCTGACTGCAGCTGGATGTCTTCCTCCCTCTTCTGCAATTTTGGTTTCTCCTAAACCCGTATTTGTTGCACCTACTTAAACAACTTGCTTCCTTCCACTCAATTTTCTGTTATAATGCTTAGATACAGCCAGCTTCTTCAGCAATGAAAATAAATGACTGAAGTAAATTAATTTCTCTACAGTATTTTATTGTTCAGAGCTGTAGTACAAGTTCTGAGCCAGAGCGCTTCTTACCTCCGGTATGTGATGACTGAGACAGAACTGCCGGTTGCAGTAGATGCAAAGCTGGCCGAGTGTCAACACAGACGCTTTGCATTTCACAAAACTGCAAACACTGTCCGCCTTCACGACAGCGCTGATGAGAGCATCAAAGTCATCATCTGGAACGGCGGCAGCAGCGATGTCACAGGCCCCTGCCTTCGTTTTGTTCTTTCCTGAGGGGAAATAACCCAGAGTTATCCTGTGAGCAGATGTGGAGTTGAAACACTTCCAGATGGTTTGAGACAAACCTTTAGACTTCTTTGTTCCCTGAGCTGCAGGGTTGCAGTTCTGTTGCTTCTTTTGCTGGACATTTTCCTCCCTCTTCTGCTGCTCCCTTCGCATTCTCTCCAGATGCAACGTCTTCAGATCTACTGAAGGTTGGGATGGTGGCGGCTCACTCTGCAGAGCAGGAGCAGGTTCCTCCTCTGGGGTTTCCTCCTGCGTCGGCTCCTCGACAGGCTCCGATGCCACCGGCCGGGAGACGGTGATGCACCTGCCGCCGCCCTCTCCTCTGCTCTCATGAACGAGGCCCAGCTCCTCAGCGATCTGGTGGATCAGCAGGCGATCGTGGGAGTTGAAGGATGATGGGAACTGTAAATTCTTCATATTTACATCCTTCATGAAATTCTCCACTTGCAGTCTGATCTCAGCGTATCGGCTCTTGTTGTCTTTTTGGTCTTTCTGGGCTGATGTGTGGGACTTTGTGTGATTCTGTGAACCAGCTGTGTCGTCCTTAGAGCTGCCGGTCGTTTTCTGGCCTTCCTTTGCTTTACCTGGAGCCTGATCTCTGTTCTTCTGCTTGCTAGACGTGGAGGAAGTGTTGGTCTTTGTGTCTTTACGATCACGGGTGTAGTTCTGTGGCACGATATCTTGCAGGTACTCAAATGCAGTTCTGACCTCACCGACCTCGGTCATGTGATCGACCAGAGATTTGAGGAAAGCGTGATTCCTAACTGTCTGCGTGTCGCACACTACGGCGATGTGACGTCTTGCGCGTGTGACGGCGACATTTATCCGTCTGTCCTCTGCAAGAAAACCCACCTCACCTAAAGAGGGGAAAAAAAAAAACTATTCAAAACAGTTCATGGTTATGATTTAGCAAAAATCATAAGAAATTTATATTAGGAAACAACCTTTTCTGTTGGAGCGAACTAACGACAGCACAACAGCTTCCTTTTCTCTGCCCTGAAATCCGTCCACAGACTTTATTTCCATCTCTGGGTGACGTGCAGAAAGCTTCTGACGCAGAAGATCCACCTTTAGAGAAATGATTAAAAACATTTAATCCCTTAATAAAAGGTTTGATCCTGGACTTTAGTTAAATATTGTTAATAGTATACATTATGATGCATCATATAATATATTCACTTTATTATATTAGAAATCAAGAAATATGAAAGGAAAAGCACAACTGTTTCTAGAACAATACTAATATTTAAGTTAAAGTTAATTCATACAAGGAGTTTAATGTTAATTGCCCACTTTCTTATTTATTATTAATTTAAAGATACTATAGACCAAAATGTTAAAAACTCAGATTCAGGGGAAAACTCCCAAAGGCAGACCTGTGGAGATTTATGAACAGGAACAAATTTGGTCACTCAGCCATTAACGTTGGGACTGAATTTCATGTTTTAGGAAAATTATGTGGCAGGATAATCTAAATATATTGCCGAGTAATCAGGAATTAACAAAACAAAATTAAATTTATTTTTTACATGGTAATAATATTTAGTTTCTAAATATTCCACAGATATCCAGGTACTGATCTCATATCCATCCAAGCCAGCCAATTTACACTTGTGGAGAAAATTGTTGGTACCCCGCAGTGTTAATGACCAAAAATAACAAAATAATAAATAAAAACTTACTGAAAATTAACAAATGGAAATCAGACATTGGTTTTGAAGTGTGGTACCCCAGAATAATAATAATAATAATAATAATAATAAGAAGAATAAAGAAACTAATGAAACAGGTCTGGACAAAAATGATTTTTGGTATACCATGTGCTAGAAATGTATGATTTTCTTTGCTTTAATTAATGTTAGTGAAGTTTTATTTATCATTTACTAATTAGTAATTTTGTCAGTTTCATCCTATTTCATCGACCATTTTCATCATGGCTCTTTGGTCTACCAACTTTTTTATCCACCTGTGTGTTTGCTTTTATCTTAAAATAGTTTATTCTGCGCTGATCAATTAATTTTGAAATGGCAATAATGTTCCTTATTTGACTCATCAATAAACAAAATGAAATTTGTTTCAGGTTATTTTTACAATGTATTTTCTTTGTTGTGCTCTGGTTTGTGAAGTGTATCGATGACTTATCATGTCTTCTGCACAGTAAAAATTTTTTTGCTTTGTTTGCCAGGTTCAGTGTCATTTTGTGAAGCTAAAAATCAGTCTTGCCTGCAGCTCTTCTCAAACCAGAGACTTACTTGTAGATTATACGGCGCGATAACAGCAATGTCTTTAGCCTTTACTCCGGCTTCCGTCAGGCTCTTTATATGCAGTGAAACAATGTCGACCTCACCTGAAGACACAGTCAGTAAAAGTTAAACGTTACACTAGAAAAATCAATAAACCCATTGAGATTTTCTACATTCTTCCAGGAAAGACATTTACCTTGGTTGCCTTTGGACTGCTCGTCTGCGATCTCCATTTCGCTCAGACCGCACCCTGCGGTGTCGATCAGAAGAAGTGGCGTGCTGGTCTCTTCGACGCAGGCAACGCCCGGCAGATCTCTGCAGCAGAAAAGATTTTACGATTAGTTTCAGGAGTCAGCCTTCGCTGCCTTGGGAGTATGAGACATTCTCCAGGAGTGTGTGGAAACTTACTTCAATAAATGTTTCTCCACGGAGCTGTGAGCGGTTAATCGTCCATGGTACATCTCCTTGGAGGCCCATTCCATGATAGCACTGTTCATGCGGTACTGAACTGTTAACATACGGACCACCGAGTCCCCATACGTATGAATAAGTCTCTCCATGAGACTCAGGGACAGGCCTTTAGCTGCAGCTCTGTGCAGAAAGGACACGGACAGAACAGGATGGTTTGATGAGCTTGGTAAATGCTTTAAGTTTGTTTTCACAACACGTACAATTTAACCTTGATTTTTGTTTGCTATGACCTAAATAAAATCAGTACTTATTTTACAATGTATGTCTTGATGGTAGTTAATGCTATGGGAGATTCCTCAAACATGCATGAAAGAATCATAGCAACACTTCAGATATGTTTTTGATGAGGTAATAACATTATAACATGATGTAAAGCTCAAAAAAGAAGTCAATTTCACATCATAATCCTCTTCCCCCCTTTAAACTGATTGTGTTAAAAATGAATACATAAAAAAAGAGGACAGTGAGTGTGTTTTAAAGAGAACAGATCAGCTTTACTCATTGAAAAGTCACAAATAAATTCCTGACAGTTAACAAAAACAAAAACACATCTTGTTTTGTTACGTTTGTGATTTGATGGTTGGTGGTAACTGCTTGTAGTCTCCAGCTAGGATGCATTTGCGCGCTCTGAGTAAAGCGATCCAGCAGTTGCTCTCCAGGGCCTGTGCACACTCATCGATCACCACCCAATCAAAATGCTCTGCCGGCAGGAACTTCAGAGGACCGTCGTCACATGCACCTGCGAACACAAACCTCCTCCATTATTTTCATTGCTGCCGCTGAAGGATGGTGACCGCTTCACTCCACTGACCGGTGTTTGTGGACAACACAACATCAGCACTCTTCAGGATCTCAGCGATGGCTGCCGTCTCCCTGTTTTTCAGCTCTTTCCTCAGCTCTCCTATTTCACGTTTAAAGTTTCCTCGCTCTCCTTTTTCGCTTTTCTTCTTCATCCCCACCTGAAAAGAAAAGAAAAAAAAAAGTTTCTTTAGCCTCTAGGAGACTAACAAATCTCCATCCTAGCAGGAATACAATTTCCAGTGCTGACCAATGCTTTGTCGATGTCTTTCCGGATGTCGGCGATGATGTTTGCGTTGTCGCTCTGAGCGAGGATGGCGTCCAGTGAGTGTTTCTGGATGGATTCCAGCAGTCTGGCGGGGTGGCCCAGTCTCAAGACTTTGGCTTTACAGCGAGCAAGCCTCTCCACTAAATTATCAACGGCAACATTTGAGGGGGCACAACACAGGACCTGGACATGAACAGGACCATACTTATACCAGGGATCCAGTATCTGATTATTTAAGAAGCACATTTATTTTTTTTTACTGTGCTAAATTATTGAAACTCTTTGCACCTTCTGGCCTTGTTTCACAGCTTGCAGGATGATCTCCACCACTGTGGTGGTTTTTCCTGTGCCTGGAGGTCCATGAACCACAGCCAGCTCTCTCTGCGAAAGAGCGAAGGATACAGCTTCTCTCTGGGAATCGTCCAATTCGGAATTAAAGAACGCAAACTCATCTGATAAAACAAAAGAGCAAAATACACATATTTAATCTGGATACTGTGATCTTTAAACTTGTGTTATGACCAGCTTCACTCACTTGACTGTGAGTGAGAAGAAGGCTGCGCATCTCCAAAGAGAACATGTATCAGACTGGAAGCTGGTCCGGTTCTGTAGCCATTTAATACATTTAAGGCCCTGCAGAGATGAACACATTATAAACATAAGATGGGTTGAAGCTGAGTTTAAACTGTATTTCACCCTCTGGATGTTACCGTTTCATCCGTTTGTAGGTAACATCATTGGCCAGCTTCAAGAGATTATAAAGACCATCTGAATCAAAGCTGGCTCCATCCTTCAGGTCGTCAAAGGCCACACTGATAGAAGCTTGGCTGATCCTTGTTACTATCCCTGTGCAGATCTGTGAGGCTGCACTGCACCCAGAAGGGTCATATATGCCAACAATATCGCCTGTAAAACAAAAGAAAACAAAAAAAAAAAAAGACGTGAATCCCGGTCTGAGAAAAAATTAAAACCAAAGCAACAGTAATACTTTTAAGGCTCCTTTGTCACCTGGCCCAAAGCTGTTGCTCGGAAGGGAGGAGAAACCGAGATGCTTCCTTGGCTCTAAAACGATGACGGTGCGACCGTACAGGCCGGTGGACTGACTCCCTATCTGAAGCTTCAGCAGGCAAACTCCTTTATTCTGAAGATCCTTCAAGGAAATGTTCTCCTGCCATATCCTGAGGATTGAATATGTCCTTTTACAAACACAACTATGATATGACAAAAATGTTTGGTATTTTTTTAATCATATTTTGAAGACAGATTTAGGACAAACTGAAGCTTGTCATGAACAAGATAAATCTATCACTTTTCATCATAGATGAACTGATTAAATATTGATTAAAAGAGGATTATTAATCTATGAGAGTATGCAACCTGGAGCTTCACAAGCACAATTAGTACTTTGGAAAACATGGACTAAAACAAACAGTGAAAAAAAATTGTAGTAACATAAAAAATAAGAAACTTTACTTTACAGGAGTTAGTCAAAATGATCAGTTTATCATATTGAAATCTTATGTGTAATCATGACAATTATTTAACTAGTTAAATTTAGAAAATGTGACAGAATTCTACATCGAAAAAGCAAAAATCCACTTACATTTTGTTTTGGAATTTCAGTCATGTTTCACTTAAATTGAATCTATTAAAAAAATCCCATGTCTGTATCACAGACATGGGCTATGATTCTTTCTCAGGAAATAATTTATAGTGTACACATCTAAAATGATCAGTTTATAAGAAGAGCCCTTTTCAAATCAATCGATTTATATTTTTTCTATATAAAAAAAACAACAACAAAATAAATAGCAGATTCTGTAAAACCTCTGGTTATTTTTACTTTGACTTTTGGGAAGAAACATCTCAAAAGTTTCAGTATTTGAAAGTTCGCATTTTTGAAGGTTAATGTGGGATTGTACATGGCTCTTTTTGTTAATAATAAATAATAACTTGTAAACATTTCATACTTGGTTTCCTCTATTTCAGCCTCCCGCTCCTCCTGTAGAAGCTCCAGAGTCTTGGACACAAATTTCTCCAATGCCATTGCTCAGTACACCTATAGTACATAAAAAAAAACAAAAAAACGAAAGCATAATTTATGCTGCTTTATTTAATCTATCAAAAAATATATTTGAGATTTGAAATGCTGGCCCTCATATTTTAGACTTTAACCTGTGTAATGAAGCTCATTGACGTAAACAGAAAAAATTATGTTGACACGGCAACATTTGGGACGAAATTTTAAGAAAGTAACTCAGAGTTCGGTTTGGAGTCAAGAATGTAAATACGCACTGTAGTTGTTCAAATACCCGTCAAAAGTCTTCTCTTACATTGCACCATGAATACCCCTGCGTCTGTTTACAGCAGCCTGCTTTGACTTGTGTCATCCGGTTTTTAAGTCCACCACACTGCCACCTACCGGCTGGGAAGATATGTTTTTGTGATTGGTCAGAACCTTTATTTTGAAAAGCACTAGACGCGGAAGTTACCTAGCTGTGGTGACGCTTCAACAACACGTTGAGCTAAGTTTTCTATCAGTGACAGTCTGTTTTAAATCATATAAACGCGTTTATTGTTTTTTTTCCTTTTCAAAGCGGTGAATGTTGACCGTACCCTTTGCGGTCGCTGTCTCACGTGACGTCACACTTCAGGACATGGTTTTTAATCTGCTTCATCTGTGGCAGATAGGAAGGAAGGAAGAAAACACTTGCACTGACATACGTGAGCCAGATAATTATTAACTGACATTTCAAAAAAATGAAGTCTATGTTGATATTTCTGCTACATGCCAGCGCTTTCTGCTGGCTGGTCGGTGCCACTCTGTCAAAAACGGATTCAAAGAAGTCGCAGAAAGTTGAAGCGCAGGCAAGTAGCAGCTGCTCTCTACCTGTGAACTAAGGACTGTTTAGAGTAAACACTCGATGCTTTTGCTCAAAGCCTCAAACGGTTTTCTTCCTTTATTTCGCCTTGTAGAGTTCTCCAGCTGAATTGTCTGTGTTGGAGAGAGGCCTTGTTGTGACAGATGTGCAGTGGAAGGACATAGTGAAGGAAGAAAAGAGATACTGTGCTCATATCAAGAAGACATTTGAAGGACCAGTGCTGGGATATATCACGCCTGTAAGTCTCTATCTAAAAATAAATGTGCATCTTAATTGGTGTTGTTCAGACGTTAATTGGTTGTTACCGCAACCAAGAAGGAATCAGATTGCTGCCTACACTTGTAACCTAGACAAATGGATATTATTAGCAGCTCTTAAATTCTTAATGAGAATTATAGTACTTATCAGTCTTTTGTAAACCATTCTTTTCTATAGCGTTAAAGTAATGCTTTAACTTAACTGAGTTGAAGCATTACAAAAAATGTTTGGCATGTTTTGAAACTTTACTTTGATGAAGACGTTTGCCGTAGGTTTGAGTTTTGAGGATTTAGTTGATGAAATGCAATTAAATGTCAATTATTTTGACACCAATCTAGTATCGAGATAATTACTGAGTCTTGTGTTTACAATCAAACTGAATCTATGGTGGAAAGGAACATCTTGTAGAAGCTTTGCTGAACAATCAGGAAACAATTCAGTTATGAACAATGTTTTTCTTAACTTTATGTGCTGTTTTTTTTTTCTTTTATCCTAATTTTCTCCTTGCTCTGCAAAGAGGTGAATCTGGACTAATCACACCTCAAGACCTTCTATTGTTTGAGTCCAATATTTATGTTCGATAGCAAATTGGGGCCATTTTTTTTTCCAATTAGAGATACAGCTTTGTGGTTTTCTTAAGGCTACACTTCCCTTTCTCTTGAGTTCTCGTCACATATTCTATGACAAACCAGTGGACACGTATTTGTTCATTTTCATCTGACCAGTCCTCTCTCGTTTCATATTTGTTGTTATCCTGCAGTGGAACTCCCATGGCTATGATATCGCCAAGCAGTTTGGCTCCAAGCTGTCGTCGGTCTCTCCGGTTTGGCTTCAGCTCCGCCGACGAGCTCCCGGGACGTTTGACGTCACAGGACTCCATGATCACGACGTTGGTAGATAACTCACTTCACTGTCAGCCAAATTTTAAATGTCTGCTCATTTTCATACAGCAAAATAACATGCTTTTGTCTCTGTAGGCTGGGTCAAAGCAGTACGCAAGTCAAACAAAAAAGTCAGGATGGGTGAGCAGATGGCATCTGTTGGTGGATGCGTTTTGAGATCAGGAGGTTGTTTCATGGTTTTCTCAACCTATTCATATCCAGTGCCCAGAGTGTTGTTTGACGGCTGGTCCTACCAGGATTACATGAGCGTGTTTGGGAGTGAGGATGAAATCGAGGAGCTGTCCGGCGAACTAGTAGATGTTGCTAAGGTAATAAATGTATTAGGTTTTATCTTTGCGGTTTTGTCGTTCGCCCAATATGAGTTTGATGGGAACTTTGTGGCCTTTCAGACAGAGGGTTTCGATGGATTTACCCTGGAGCTTTGGAGTCAGCTGGGCGGGAACAAGAGAAAGCGAGTTACTCTTTTGAAAAGGGATATTGGAGGAAAACTCTTAACGTTTTGATTTGATTAAACATTTTTTAATCTCTTTTATTAACAGGGAGCTTGTTCATTTGGTGAAACATGTGTGTGAGACTTTAAATGCTAAAAAGTTAGACTGCATACTAGTTATCCCGCCAGCTGTGACGAGGTGAATATAATTATTATATATTCAACAATTACTTTTGCGTAAAACAAAACCTTAAACTGTTCCAAGTTAAAGAAAATAAATGTTTTTGCTGTAATTATCAGTTCGGGGAGCCCGGGGATGTTTGGCAGGGAGGAGTTCGATGAGTTGGCCCCTGTTGTTGATGGATTCAGCCTCATGACCTACGACTACTCTAGTGGACCCAGGTGAGTTCATAGATGAGAGGATTTTTCTGAAAGCAGGCAGAGAAAATTAAGAAATTAACCCTTTCCTTTTTAATTGTTCTAACAGACCGGGTCCGAGCTCGCCACTGCCCTGGATCAGAGACTGTGTTCTGCAGCTTGCACCGAACACTCAGTGGAGACAAAAGATCCTGCTTGGAGTGAATTTGTATGGCCTTGATTTTTCAAGCCATGGGACAGAGCCGGTGCTGGGTGGGAGGTGAGATAGAACTGTTGGTTCTTTGCTGGTTAAATGAGCTTGTTTCAGTATTTATCGAGTTGTCCTTCAGGATTTAGTTATTGCTGCAAAACCAGAGAAATGACTTGTTCATAAAATCCTATCACTTACTTATTTTGCATCTCGGTTACTAAAGTATACAGAGGTCGCCATTGAATGTAATCAGAGGAGGGGGACTAACCCTAACCGATAAGCTAAGGTTAGTTTATCAGTTAGCTAACAGGTAATTCCACATCCCAGATTATTGGGATGTGGAATTACCTGTTTGACCAAATATAATTAATTACACTTAAGGTCAAATTTGGCTTCTGGGCCGAATTATTTCGATCCTTCGTGACCTCTCTGCAGAGTAAGCAAATGTTGATCAAGTTATTCTAGGATTAGTTCAAATATTTAATTCATTGCTGGACTGACTTCTAGAACTGAATCAAATGGTGCTTTAACAAAATGTTAGCTTCAGGATGGAGCCGTTTATGCAACAACAAGCTCACCATAGCTTATTTTTCTCTGTTCAGTTGAATAATGCAAGATAAATGTCTCATTAAAGGAAGAAAAAGATCAGATTAAAAAAAAATCTTATTGTTTTACATTACAAAACCTTAACATTTTGACAGTAGTGAATTTTTTTATATATCTGCTGAACATTTTTACCTGACTTGTATTGCTGGTTGTAAAAGTACCCTGGATAAATTGCCTGGTTTGCTACCAGATCGTTCTCGGGTGTAAATCCGTTCTCAGACCAAAATTCCAACTGTTAAGAGAAGTCTAACGCAGCGTGAGGAAAAACATTCAGGAGCTCTAACAGTTTCCATTTCCTGGCTGATCTCTGTAGGTACATTGAGATTTTGCGAGAACAAAGACCAAAGATGACCTGGGATGAATACTCTGCTGAGCATCACTTCAGTTACAAAAGGTACTTAAATAAATAAATAAAAAATAAAAAAAACACTTGAAAAAGTTTGACTCTGAGAAGCATTCCTAAATAAATGTTCTTCACTTCTTCCCAGAAGCAATGCTGCAAAGCATGTGGTGTACTATCCTTCACTGAAGGTAAACTTTTTTTATTATTATTATTATAGTGCAAATTATAACAGTAAAGAAATGTAAAATATTTTTACATTTAAAATTTTTTTTTTTTTAAACTTTTTTTGCAGTCAATCCACATGAGGATTTCTTTGGCTACCGAGCTGGGAACAGGATTATCTTTATGGGAAATGGGACAAGGACTGGATTATTTCTACGATCTCCTATAAACGTTGGAGTTTTTTTTTTTTTATAAAGGAAACAGTGTTTTTGGTGTCTGTACATTTTTTCTTTTTTTTTTTGCCTCTTTGAACTGGAGAAGGAAAAAATGCGGCAGAAAAATAATCGGTCTGGAAAATAATCAGCTGGTTTGAGGGTCAGGAAAACGTGGGCAGCTTGTTTTGAAAAAGCATTTAAAGAAAACATTGGTACTTCAGATTTGTTTCATTTGTGTTAATTTATGATTTTGTAATTTGTACAGTGCAGAAATTATGATGTTCAGGGCTGTAACAACTACAGTTTCCCAGGAATGTTTTCATACCCATTGACTTCTCACGTTTTGTTACTGACTTATTGTGAAAGAGATCTGAATGTTTTATGTAAAAAATGTAAGCAAAATAATATGGTGTGACACAGTAAAAAAAAAAACATATTTTCAAACATTAAATGTCCAGAAAGTACCTCTGCTTTTCAAGAGTGAAATATGTGAGGAACCACAACCTTAATAATGAGGGTGAGGCCAGATGTCAAATATCGCTAACGCAGTTCAACCAAACAGGCCTTCATGATAAAATAACCAGACTGAAGCGCCTCGTTATTAAAACAATTGAGATTTCACAGATTAGGAAAGACTAATTTCTTAAATATAACTGTTTTGACCTGAGCTTCCACCATCATCCTTTGATGGAAGTGGCTGCTGCTCACAGTGCAGCTTTTCCTTAATATATGGAATGATGCAGTAATCTCTTCTGTGATGCACAGTGGTGGCAGCATCATGCTATAGGGTTGAGATTCTGTGACAAAAATTTAAACATGGCAGCAGAATAGATTTTTGTTTTTAAAAACAACCTGTTCTGGATGGCTACGGAGCAACAAGTAGCTCCTTTGACCTTCCAGAATAACTCAACTTTGGCTAAAAAAATAAAGAACCAACTTAAGATTTTAAATATAAATATACAATATAAATGCAGGTTTTCTTTTTGTTTTGTTTTTTTCATGGAAAAAATATCATTCCACAACTGAATGGCTCTAAAAGTGTCATTAATATTTATGCAGGTTTAGATGTGTACGAAGACTGGAAACGGAGCACATGTCAACGTCTGATAAAATGGAGCCATGATCTTTGTGCTGATATATGATTTTATTTATTTTAAACCTAAAAATAAGAATAACATGGTTTTTCAAAAATGAACAAACTTTATCTAGTAGATATTTGTGAAAAATAGGGATTCTTTTTTTGGACAGATCTCCTCTCTGCATGTTTTTACTGTGGAGGAGGAAGGGAACTCCTAGACTTGAGGTTGTGATTAAAGCCAAAGGTAATTAAACACAATATCAAGGCACGGCATCCTGGATTAATGCATTTTGTCAAAAATAAAAGGCTGTTATGTCCTGGTGTTGGTTACCGAGTTCAGACAAAATACTTGAGCCTAATTTGGAAAAAAGTTCATAAAAGTGGGGAAAAAAATGAAGGGTGTGAATACTTTGTTGTTACATCTGTGACTTTTTACTGAGAAGTTTAACAAGTAGTTGTGCACATTTTTGCAGTTGAACCCATCATCTTCAAAGATTTGTTCCAGATAAATGCTTGTTACTAACAGATCCAGACAGAGAGACTTTTTATTTGGCATTACAAAGGAGGATGAGATTATTCACTGCCAGTGACGTCGACTGCTGATTCTGTCCAGTTATGACGTGTCTGTCCACAACTACATGCACGGCGTCTTCTTGACTCGCTGGGAAACGGAGATGAGCGTTAAAGCAGTTCGAGGAACAGTGATCGTATTCGTTCAGGGTCTGTGCAGTGCAGCTGCTCACCTGTATAAGATCCTCCGCTGTCTTTCACAAAATCCTCCACAATAAGGGGAAGGTTGGCAAAGTCGGGCTGACGCACCAGCTCAAACACAGACGGCTTTGAGGAAAACATCGATTATTAGGTAGCTCGTAAACATGCGATCAGCCTGAGTAAACATCTCCCCCCATAAGAGAAGACTAACTAACCCCTGTTAAGCTGTAACCACTGAAGATCCACTTCTGCCCCTCGGTAGCACAGCACAGTGCCGACACGCCCTGTCCAACAGCACACACGGGCTCTGCACAAGGCGGAGAAAACAAAAATACATCGAGCACTGAGGCTGTTAACAAAGACATTAACACAAGTCTGGAACTCACTCTGCTGGGAGATGAACTGTGTGAGAATTCGGTGCATGGAGCCGCTGTGTGCCAGGTCGTTCGGCGCTCCGGGGCAGTCGGGGATGAGCAACGCCTGGTATCTGGCACCTTGGGAAAGATCGGCGGATCATAACCGAGCAGAGTCCAACCAATATCAGCAGCAGACATAAAAACGGCAGATGGGTTGTGGAATCAACTTTTCTCACCATCTATGGATTCGAGTTTGGCTGGTGTTGCGTAGGACTTCACATTAAAGTCCTGCACCCATCTCGCTGTGCTTTCATCAACTCCCACAAAGTCTATTGGCTTTCCCTGTATTTCCAAAAAACACTCGTAGTAAAATAGAACAGATTACGAAGCGTTGACATCAAACTGGCAGCTATAAGTTAAACAGCACGACGAAAACTCTGTTAGTGGAAAAGACTTTGGTTTCGGTAAACATCTTATTCAAGATCTGCAAATTTCACCTTTACCATTTCTGATCAGCAAGTCAAATACTAAAAAATCTAATTTATGCATAAAAAAAACCCCATTTATTTGTTATATAAACACATCAACAAAGTGCTTGTTCTTTGACACAATGTCTTGGTTTACTAAAAATATGAACAAGATGGCAGACACACCACTTGATGCATTGCGTGAAGGTATTATCTTGCAATCTCATAATTTGCTGCTAGATTCAAATCAATTTCCAGTATCAAAAAGCCTTTAAGGAAGGAATGAACTGACAAACTTAATTGACCTTCTGATTCCTCATTCTCACCAACTGGTTGATTTTTTTAAATTATATATATATAGAGATGGTAGATTAGGATGAAACAAAACATGACAGAAAGAAAATATTTTCCCCAGCTATACATTAAAGCATACCTAACCATCTTAATTGTGAGGATAACTGGCTGATCGACTGCTTTAATTAAACCAAAATGAACAAAGTGTGCATCATAGTGTTAGAAAGAAATTTGCGAATGTGAATAGATCAGAAAGGTTTGAACTGATCAGAACTTCTCAAAAAAACAAGAAAATGCGAGAAACCTGTTTTGTTCACCGGATGAATAGTGCTATTTTGAATTGAAGGGATGAGATAATTTTACCACCTTAGTGGGGAGCAGGATGTCACCACGATAACACACAGGATATCTCAAAATAGAACATTGCATAAAAGTGCAATGCTTCTTGCCAGTTGTCTCAGAAAGCAAAATAGTGGCTCCCAGGTAAAGAAAACCCAAAACTCAGTGCCTCAGAAAAGTATAAATATCACATTAGAGCGATCACGGAGGGATGTTTTAAGCACAAATGTCAGGCTTCTGAAAAGTATGACCATTTATATGCAAAACATGTCCATTGCTGCCTCTCCAGTTTTCCTTCAAACCCTGGAACTTTGATTTCCAAATGAAATGCAGAATTTACTTTTATCTGAATACAGAATTCTGGACCATAATATCATGGTTCTGTTTCTTTTCTCTGATGTTGCCCATATCTATGTGTCTGGAATAGATTTAGCTTTACTCTGTATCTTCCCTGTTGCATCTTTTCCTACCATACTTCTTCCTTCCAGCCAATTTTCTTTTAATATGCTTGGATACAGAACTCTGTGAACAGCCAGCTTCTTCAGCAATGTCTATTTGTTTCCATTAATTACCTTTTTCCAAAGTATGCCAGCTTTCTGAGACCACTGAATTTCGGGTTTTCATCATCTGTAAGCCATAATCATCAAAATTACAAAAGCAGGTTTGGGATATCACTATGAGATGATTATATAGCTTCGCATTCTGCGATAACTGGCAAGAAATGTTGCGCTTTTACAGATTTTTGTGTGATGTACTTGTACTCAGGACGTTATTTGACGTTTGCACTTGCTTTTCAGGCATTCACTCATTCATTCATTAATTCATATTGAAGCTCTTACCCCTGGTGTGGCGGTCTGCAGATTGAAAGCTGTGCTGCAAAGACTGAAGCACTGCAGAAAGGATTTGGCGGAGACCCCTGAACGAATAAAACACACCGATTTAACACTTAAAAAAAAAAGACAACAATGCTCTACAACGGCACATTCGGCTACAGTTTAAATTAACCATGGATAACATTGTTGAATTACAACTAATAGGCTGCATAAATGACGGCTCTGCTCCGACACTATGCAGTGAAAGCCGCAGTGGACTCACCTTGAGGGGAAGCGCTGGCCACTATTAAGCAGGTTGGTTTCGCAGACATTTTATTATTATTTTTTGCCAAAGAAGATAATAGAAGTGCAAAAAAACAAAAAACGATCTAACAAGGAAGTAAGGTCAGCTGACAACAACATCCCCAAAATAATTTCAGAATAAAAGCCTTAAAAATTCTGTTGGGCATAATTCAATTTTATTCGCATTGCAACTAAACAAGTTTAAAGAATGCATTAGAGTCACGACAATAATTTAACTGTGGCGTTCTCTCTTAATTTAATAACTATACATTTATTAGATAGTAGTGTTGTGAGATACTAAAGCATAATGATGAGGTAGTATGACATCATTATCAGTCAGTTAAAGCATAATTACGAGATACAACTTATATGAGCTGGCAAAGTCACAATTATAAAATACTTTTGTCTTGCACAGTGGATGAGATGGACTTCCATCGCCCTTACTAAATTGCTTGTGCTACATAAAGACACCTCCTGATTATCTTTTGTGTGTTTTATTTTGCATAGAAGTATATTTACACCTCATACTTTATCATAAAATAAGATAACTAGAATTTCCTCTTGTGAAATAGAGATTGGTGCTGTCCAGCAGCATTAGTACATCTGTGGTGTTTGTCACTTAAAACAGTTTTCATCATTTCAGCTTCCAACTCTACAGCAACATTGTGGGAAATGTTGGGTTTTACATCATTCAAATAAAAGTTGCACAGTCAAGAATGTGATATTAAAAGGGTCCAACGTCAATACAGATCTTCCTTCAGGTTTCGACAAAGGCAGCATGTGAACATCATCCCTACGAGCTGAAAGGAAACACAAGTATGTAACTTGTTAGTTCCTCTTTCACATTTCGCAGGTTGCGAATACTCATCTGTGTTTTCCTCATTTTACCTGTAGAAATGCAATCCCAACACCCACTCCTCCGAGAATATATAACTGGCTTCTTATGTAATCCTCTAGTTTCTCAACGCATCCTCCCTGGGTGGGAATGTAACAGAATGAAATGAAAATCTAAAACGTTCGGAAACAATTAGTTAAGGAAGGAATCTAGCTCCCTGAAACTTTTTCTATTGCTACAACCTCAAACTTCAATGCAGTGAATTCATATGATGGAGATGTCTGTAACTAGAAAGGAAATGATACACAATTTTCAAAAATCTTCACAAATAATATGACAACCTTTGCTTGCATTTGTATTATTCACCTTTTTTACTCTGATAACCCTGAATGGACTTACAGAAGTCACTTAGTTACTTAACTGTGTGTAATTTAATCCCGGTATGAATACAATTGCTCTTGGAAGGCCTCAGATGTAAGTTAGAGATCAAACAGCATCATGAAGATCTTGGTAAAACACACTAAATCACAGTTAGGTTAAAAAGCAATACACCAAGCATTAAATATCACACAACATCCCCAATTTTTGCACTTTAAAGTTTGCAAAAATAAAGAAATGGCGAAGCGCTATGAGTGTTTTGCGAGGCGCTGTACCTCCACCCTGTAGATGTTGGATGGATGATCTCTGCGACCGCAGAGGCTACTGAGAGTTTTACAGCAGCTGTCAGGAACGAGCTGTTGAGTTCCTTCTCCCCGGATCCACTCACTATCTCTCCAGTCGGAGAAGTTGTGACTTCCACAACATTTAAACTGAGTGGGAGGAACAAAGAAAGATTTTTTTTTTTTTTTTTTTACTAAAACTGCATTCAATCTTTTAAGGTTGAGGATAGTTATTTCTGCTCCTCTCATATTTATTTTATTTGAGCTAGTTTTTTCAGCCTTAGTAGGAACAAATGTTCTCACCTCTTGTTGTAGCTTGTCAACAGACAGTGTGATGCTCTCCTGGCCTGGTTGCAGGTATTTCTGCTGCATGTTTAACTTTAGGTTCTGTCTGAGCTCATCATCCAGCTGTGAGAGACAAGAAATAATTGAGCATAGGAAGAAATAAAAAAAAATCAAATGCTCCTCCTTTTTTCCCCCTGCCTTTGTGTCATTTGATTTGACACCTAGACACTCAGATGTTGCTTTAAAGTTAATTGAAGTTATTTGTTAATATTTTATTTCACTGTAAAAAAAAAAAAAAAAAAAAAAAAGGAACACTTCAAATTCATCATTAAACCCAAAAACAATGACATCCAAAACCATTAGGAGTGCATTTCAACTTTTTACTAGAATTGCATGTGAACTTCTGGGAGAAACACGGATGCAAAACAGAAAACACATCTCAAGAGATTACCTGGTAGCAGAAAGGGAAACACTGCAGTGACGAAGTGGGGAAAAGAAACAGAGGTTGTGAGAAGAATAGAAAGTGAAGAAAAACCAAAAGAAGAACATGCAGAGAAAAGCATGCAGAGAGAACAACTACAGAGTTTTAACAATGAAGAGCTAATTTTGCATGATGATATAATTCTAAACACATGCAAAACAAAATATGCATTTGTTTACATTTTCAAAACAACCAATTTGCTTATTCTGGTATTTGGACATTGACGTAAAAAAGCTTACAGATTCTTCCTTTTTTTTGGCCAGCATGAAATACTTTAAATTTTTACCTCAGACACAATAACCCCCCATCCCCCACCAAAAAACTTTTTTAAAATCATAAATTGCAATTAAACATAATTTCACCATCCCAACAAGTTTCGAAAATTATATTATATTGAATTAAAACCAGTTACTGTGTGCAAAGCTAAATTTACCTGCTGTTGGTAAACATAAGCCAGGACTCCAGCTGTGATTTCCAGCAGAAAGACACACAGCAGCAACACCAAATACTACAGAACGGACATGAAAACAGGTTACATGAAAAACAATTCAAACTCAGACATCTTTACTTTTATATTAGTTCGATAGATTTAGGGGCTTAATGGAATTTAAGGGAAAAGCTCGGATATGGACAAAGTTGAAGAATCAAAAGTAATAGTTCCATTAAATGAATCAACAAGATGAAGGGAAGGCGTCGGTTTAAAAAGGCAGAGGTCCAAGGGGAAATAAAAATAGACGTAACGTGACAGAGTTTGTTCAGGTTTGCCTTTGAATTGTATCCCGCTCACTGCGACTGTCTGCCTCTCTCTCCCTCTCATTCTGTGGCCCGAGCAGCCGCTTGTGATGCTCCTCATTCCTCTGGCATGAGCTGAGCTCTAAATCTAAACTCTTAAAGACACACTCTGCGTGACTTTATCTGTCATATCTGACAGACATGCCTCTCATATCAGGCTACCCTGAATGGATGGGGACCAGACAGAAGGTCACCAAGGATTATTTTTCAACACACACGTCTCAGAGTCATGTTCTGCTGTAATAAAGAGCTTGTGCACAACTGTCTGACTTCATATGCTTAACAAAAAGCTAACCGATTTAAGATGTTGTATTTTTTCAGTGTTTCTGTGGGATCTACCATCTTACCACAATCAATAGGCTCCTCTTCTCATTCAGAGTGGCGCAACATCCGATTATTCCAGTCAAAGTCACAATGACTCCAGCGACTATCAGGATGAAAGCAGAGGCTGAGTAGAAGCCGGAGTTCAACAAACTGACGTAGTCGCTCTTATCCACCAGAGTCCACACTCCCACCGCCAACACGGCCCCTCCAGCCAGCTGAGACACAACATGCCACACGTCAAGAATCATGCATATCTTAACTTGAACAAGATGCTACTTCGCTTATGCAAACCACACAGCATCTCATTTATTCACTGTAAACCCCTAAAGATTTGAGTTGAATTTGTTTTTTTTGCAAGATGCATTTAAGTTAATATGTTTAATTAAATTAAATTAGCATATGTGCTCAATGAGACTCATTTGTCAGATTAAAAGTACATTTTGAAAATAACCTTTAAGCAGGAATTACACATACTATTCTTTAAGCCCACATTTCACTAATATAATGTTCATTATTGGTCTGAATACAGGTTAATATTCTTAACTACATGTTGTGTTTTCATTAGCTATGAGTGAAAAATCAGTCGTTAACATTCATTTATGTGTAATTAATCTAGGTAATGTGATTTACTTTGGGAATTGAGTTTCTGAAAAATATTAACTTTTCGGTAATATTGTAAGGTATTGAATCTGACACCATAGATTTGTGGTCATGTGGAAACAGCAATTTAACTGGAAAGAAAATGAAAATGAAGAGAAATCCCCCTCAAAACAACAGCAGTGTGTCCATGTCATCTTCAGCACATCCTGCATCTGTAAGGCAGCCCACATTATGGATGAACACTTTTTGTTTGTTTTAATGTTATTCAGCATCATTGCGCCCATATTTTTTCATCTTAAACTAAACTAAAGCTAAGCTAAGGTTATGTTTAGAAGTATGTTTTAGTCTATGCACCCTGGTCCTGAAGATCGTCATTTTGCTTTGTTGTCCACTGGGTATCTTGCTGAAATGACCATGAATCTGACGCAAGAACTTTAGTACATTCGTAAAACCTAAATAAATCCAGGTAGAGGGGACTTCTTATCCATAAACCTACTTATTTGTAAACTTACCCAGAAACAAATGTTGAAGAGAAAAAGTAGATACTTCAGGCAAATTGTCCCACATGTGTTTTTCTTCTTACGTTGAGTTTCCATCCTGTAAAACAAGATATGTTAAATGTCTGCAAGCATGATAAGCAACATCATATTTTCCAGATACTAAAGAACCAGACAGCTCAGAGAGCTAAGAGACTCTGAATTCAGGTCACACCTCAAATTCTGCTCTTTTAGATAAAATTATCAGTGAAACTTTCATTGCTTCAGGGTAAGTAAAGCCTAATCACCACAAACTCTGTGTCTGATTAAAACTAGTTAGCTGTGACCTAAATGCATTCAGTAATTTCCTCTTTCAGTTGGCTTAACTTCCACCTTCAATGTGAAGAAGTGAAATGCCGAGATCAGTTAAATCTCAGCTGTAGGTCTAATGAACTTATCTAACGACGTCCTTTGACTAAACCATAGACTGACAAAAAAGCTGGCACCACATTTATTCAAGGGGGCATGGAACGAGCTCAGAGATGAAATCAAATATGTTGTGGGGAAAACATACTTAACAACTTGTGTCACATGTCAGCCAGCGCACAGTCGTCTGCTCCCCATCTCAGTAACGCAAGCTGACCCCTTTACTCTACTCCTGGTATGTTTAACATTTGACTTTATGATAAAAAAGTTTATGTTTTTGAAACTGAACTATCATAAGTGTAGAGCTTAAAAGATATAGAACCTTAGGTTTTGCATATAAATTTATTCTAAAGTAGATGAAAACAGAAGAAAGGGCAAAGTATATATCAGAAAATGTATATATTTCAGTTAGCAGTAAACTTATCTCACCCCAGCTTAAATATTAGACAACCTCGATACTTGTAGTGAGTTATTTTTAACCTCCTCTGTAATGGAAAAAGCTGCTCTCTCGTTGTTTTTTTTTTATTGAAAGGACAACAGCCCTACCTGAATTCAGACGATGTGTCCCAGAGGGATGATGACTCTCGGGGTAACTGAGCAGATCCCACTCACCCTGCTGTGACTGTGACTCTGTTGCTGAAGCAGAACTGCAACAGTGTAAGTTTTCAATTGACGCTCACAGCCTCCTACATGAGCGTCTGTCCTCCTCTTTTGGCCTCACACACACACCTCACCGCCTCGACGGTCCACACAGAGGGCTTGTCTGCCCCCATCTGGCTACATGTTCACACAGGCTTTACAGTAAAACTCTCACACAAAAAAAGGACACACACAAAAAAAATCATAAAAATATATATTTTATAACAGAGATTTGATAATACAAAGTATGGCAATACAATAGAAGTTGGTCAAAAAAGAGAAAAGAGCCACAATTTCTTGTTTAAGGAAGTGACTTTGGGCAGTCCTTGTTGGTGTGTGACACTGAACTGCAAATCTTCTTTTTTCTTTTTTAATTTTAATTTTTGTAACAAAGCTTTCCAAAAGCATCAAATCTTCTTTTTACTGAGAGCACAGCAATTTCTCTGAGCTGTGTCCTCTGTCAGTAAAAAAGCGTCTTCACACTGCCGATCATCCTTGGTCACCAGCATCCTAAAATAAGAAGATAATTTATTTTTAAACAATTAACACGGAAATAAAATAAACCACATGATTTATGCAGACAGTTTTTGTTTTGCACCTCTAATTGTCAGCTTGTGCGAGAGCAACTACAGCCTATTCAACAGTAACATACACACTAACAATGTACATTAAGAAACAAGAATTTTAATGGAATGGCTTAACACAAGATTGAGGAACTTGTCCTGGTTTTGTTCAGATATTAATTTATTCATACATATTTAAAGACAAAGCCTGAAGCTGTGGTGCATTTTCTTAATATGTAAGGAAGCATTTAAACCTGCAAATTCTAAAATGATCATGTGGTTTGGGGAACAATTCTACTGAAGCTGCCAAAAATAACCAAGATTTGCTTGTGGTTTCATATTTGGGGGAATTTTTTGTTGTTTTGTTTCATAAAGAGGACCAATTATGCTTCCGCAAAAAGGTTAGTATATGACCATGGCCTATCTGCTTCCAGAATGAGCTGTTTTAGGGCCTCTTGTTTCTTTAAATCCAAATAAACCAGTTGACCAATCGTGTTGTAGCTTAGGTTGGGTTGCCAGGTGACAGGTTGCTAGGTGACGGACTGGGCTTCTCTGGGCCTGATAGGTGAGGGACAGTGCCTGCTGATTAGTGACATTATCTTCCAAAGAAACACCTCATGTAACTTATTGCTAAAAAACAGCTGGGTGGCTCTGCTAAGAGTTTGGGCTGTTTTAAGAAGCAGTAGAAATCCAAAATAAAGAAAAACAAAATGTGGAAAATCGTTAATCGTCCCCTTTAACAATCTCTCTCTAAAATATTTACACCACTAGAACCTTTTCACGTTTTATTGCAATATAACCACAATAAAATGACAAATTTCAGTATGTTACCAATATTTTTTTGTTTTTAGATCATTGAAAAACAGAGGATAACTTTGAAGTTAATGTTATTAAAACCAATAAGTTGAAGTTTCCCGTAAGTGGAAGAGAAACATTTTGCAGTTTCTTACTCAGCCAGGTGAACCATCAGCTCGTCCATGTAATACCCAGTCTTGGCACTACACTCATGAAACAAAGCCTGGTAATCCTGTGCAAGCCAACAACAACAACAAAGACAAATCTTGTATTTATTTGATATTTTAATATAGTTTATTTAATCTAGGCAGCAACTTTACGTGAATCAGTGCAGAAAGCTCTTTGAATATTCAAATTGCAGCTCACCTCTGCCAGCCTCTCCCCCTCCGGTCTTGTGATTTCTCTGTTGTTATTGTCTGCCAAGTCCAGTTTGTTTCCAAGCAGCATCAGCACAGTCCCATCACACATCTTATCCTGGAGGGAAAACACACCACACTGACTTGATTCGGTTTGTTCAAGTGTGAGAGAAACAAGAGGTCTCCCCACACGAGTTTTTGAGGTTAACAAAATGATCATTATTATGCCACTGAGAATCTAAATGATCATTTTCCTCAATAACCTTTGTGTGTATTCAAATGACTGATTTGCATTTGCCAGAACAGGCCCGGCCTCTCACCCTGACGGAATCCATCCATCCTCTCACCGCACTGAAGGAGGCCCTGTGAGTTACGTCATACATGGCAAGGATGCCGTCTGCCTTTCGGTAATATTGTTCAGTGATGCTGCGATACCTTGAAACATGCAAACATTTAAATTATAGGTCACTTGAGCCACTTATAACTGACTGGTCAAAGATTCTGCAAATTAAAAGCACACATCTGACCTCTCCTGGCCCGCAGTGTCCCACAGCTGCAATGTGATAGTGGTGGAGTTCAGAATTAAAGTCTTCATCTGGAAATCTACACCTAGAAATAACAAAACGTCATCACAACATGCTGCAGTCGGGACAGGAGAGCTGAGTTTATTAAAAGAATACAAAAAGTAAGATTTTTATTTAGAAAAATATGAAAACATTTCCTTCCACACAATTATGCACAACTTTGTACCAATCTGTCTTCACTCAGACAAGCTGTAAGTTTCCACACAAATAAAGTCATTTTCCTCCACATTCTCACTTATTAAATTCCAATAACTTACTTTAAAGTTTTGGACTGTAATGTGACATGTTAAAAAAATTCAGAGTGAAGCACACTTTTATCCTAATCCCTCCTCTCTGATGTCAAGCAGCAGACATGTGACAAAGAGTAAATAGTAGGTGTGTATTTTGTCAGGTAGACATGACAGAGTACCGTTCCATGTGACTGTTTACACAGCAGGGTGTTTGTCCTTTCGAGGACAGACTGATCAAAAGTGTATTAAAGGATGAGGCATTAGTCAAACAGTGTTGCTTAAAAACAAGTTTTTAATATTATTTAAGTAAGATAATCACAGTCTGGAAATATAAGCTTTTGTATTTAGTCACCAAACTCTAGATTTAATAAGGTGCCAAGGAATTAAGTTTGTATCTGGTTATATGGTTGAACATAAACACAGTTGTACCCAAAGCTCTTAAGTCTCAACTGGACCATGCAGGAAAAAAAAAATCTCTGCAGTCCAAGACTGGTGATTAAGACTCAGAGTCTGCAATGAAACATGAAACTTAAGGTTGACTCAGACTGAGTTGGCAGGGGATTATTAAGTTTAGTTGTCATTTGTCATTTATATTTGTTTCTCTGTCCATTTTAAACCTTTGTACTGAAGTAATACTCAGTACAATCTCTGGTATTCTCATAATAGTTATATTGCTGTAGAATGTCCTGAAACCAACTGTAAAGACTGGATGTTAAGGGAAGATATACATTATTACGTTGACATTTATCTTGTTATATCTCAAGAATAGATTTTTGCAAGTAATCAAGAAGGGAGTAAGAACTTTTGGACAATGGCATGATGACTACAGTCTGGAAATATAAGCTTGTTTCCACAGTCTTATGAAAAAGACCAGAATTCGGTTCCAGATTGCATCATAGCACAGCTACAGTCTCAGAGTTTTAACACAATTTAAATGTCATTTCCATTGATAGAACATGAAAAGACCATGATAACCAGTAGTAATAACCAGATAGTGTAGTTCTCCAGAGATTTGAAAATTATGATCAGTATTAAAAAAATGCTCCAGGAAAATGTATTTTATAGCAATTAATTTAGTGTGGCGCTAACAATCTTAGTAAAAACTATACTACCCATCACTCTCGCATATGAATGTTGGCGTGCAATAGAGAATTGCTTACCCACAGTCGAACTCATTTTACTGCAGTAGTTTCCAGTGCAGTAATGCCGGATGAAGGAGGTCTTACCGACCCCCGAGTTACCCAGAAACACCACCTTAAACACTCGTTGTAGACCGACAAGTCTGCTCTAAAAGCAAAGTAAAAGGTACCCAACTTGACACTTTTCTTGGTCTAGTCTCATATTTTTAAGAGGGAATATTTAAGATTCTCCCCACCTGAGTTTGAATCTGTTCAACATTTTCATCTAGGACTTTACATGACGGTAGACAGGTCTTGGATGAATCTGTGACCTCTTTTGTATCAGTCAATTCCAACTCTTCAGAAGAGCTCAGCTGTCTTCAGGATCAACACAAAAGAAAAATAATTGAATCTTGTCCGTCTCATTACTGTAAAAAAAAAAAAAAAAAAAAAGAAATGTAGACTGTCAATCATACAAACCTTCCTACTGGCTTGTCTTGCTGCAAGTAGTTGCCTAATATTGACCCTCTCTTCTGCAGAGACTTGGTGACGTTTGGATTCTAGAAGATTACGTGGACAACATGAGTATTTTCTCTGGATGCTTTTCACATTTAAAAAGACAGAAATGGAGTCAAAAATACTTTATTCTGCAGCAAAATAATTTAACACGTTTTTTTTTCCATACACTTTTTCTTTCATAAATTATAATTTAAGAAAAAAATACAAGACGTAGCTTGTGCTCCAGACATTTCTGTGAGTGAAAATTAAACATGTATGGAATTCACTTGAAGACAAATTTACTGACATGGTGTAACAAACATTAAGCCAGTTTAGTTTACTTGTTGGGTTCAGTAAGGGTAACAAAAACATTTTCTTTTCCTGTTGACACAGGACAGTAAATTGCGACTAAGTACAATCCTTCGCTTCACTGACCACTTCCACAGAAATCTTAGATTATTAAGTCATTAGCAAGAGCTGCCCGTTTGACTAATCATTGTCCAGGGGATGGAGGAAAGCACAGTGCTTTTTTCCAAGACTTAGCTCAGGTTGGATAAACCTGCCGGGTCCAAGGAGGACAAGGGTCTTCACTGAAGAGATAAGGGAATGGCTGCGAAGAAAGGACAGTGTGTCTGTGACTAACCAGCTTAAGTGATTGCTGGGCATCTTTCTCATCTCGCAACCTCCTGTTCATATCCCTAAAGAAAAAAAAAATGAAATTTTTAAATACACAGCTAATGTAGAGAGAAAACATCAAAATGATTACTGAGGGAAATGGATTCCCTACAGTGAAGTCATAATCCCTTCTATCAGTTTAATGCCTCCTCCACCAAAGCAGCAAGCAAAAGAACAGTTCTTTGGGGATTCATGTTTCTATTAGCCTCAAAACCTGATTTTGTTCTATGCCGTCTTGGATTGGCTGTAAAATTATTAATTTTTTCATAAGTGCTCATTTAAATCCAGCCTGACACCAAACAGTCCATGCGGCTAATTGTTATTTAGCTGGTAGAATCTCACATTGCTGTCATTTAATACAACTAACTGTAGAGAACAGAAACATTAATAATGTTTATATCAAACAGAGAACATCATTTGATTTTTACATCGTCACAAGTCAAAATGAAACATGATAGAGACAACATCAACACTTTTTAATCAACACACTGTATGACAATCTTTATCCAACCAGATAAAAAAACAAAAACATAAACAAAAACCCACACATTGAGATCTAGAATCTCTTTTTTCCAAACAGGACCTTGCAAGACAGCAGCACCGATTATAAGTATCAACATTTACATTCAACCAGATTTGTTTGGTTTTAAATGGCATCACAGCATAAAATAATAAAAACATCTAATGGAAACCATGTCCATCAAACCAATGGCGGTTAAAACTCTCTTCTTCACATATAGCTTCCATCTTTGGATCGTGTTGGGATAACAGATTGGTTAAGCTTACCTTAATATCTCAAGTTGCCTCATCAGACTTTCCTTTTCCTTTTTGATGTTTCTTGATACCCTCATTACATTCCTACAGAGGTGCATAAGAAAACAGTGCTAATGAATAACCAACCCTGCCAGATATTAACTGATGAAGTTATCTCTTCGTTAAATGATCATCATGAAAACTTTAGTCACATGACTGAGCCAATGAACCTAAATCACTTTCATCAGACTTGACGTGTTTTGGTGCTGACCTCTGTCGGGCCACCTGTTCCTGAGCGGCGTTGGCCTGCAGCAGGCTGAGCTGACGCAGTGCGGACTGCAGCCTCTCTCTGCTGCTCTCCACCTGCTCCTGCAACTGGCTGTTGAGGCGCCGCAGCTGCCGGTTCTGCTCCCTGATGTTGGTTTGCTCACAATTCAGTGTTCGGATTCTGGTCTCAAGCTGAAAGCGAAGCCAGAGCCCCGTGAACACAAACAGCTTACAGAGAGATGTGTTTACCACCGCTGGGATGCCCCCACCTCTTTCTGCTTGTTTATTGTGTTCTCCAACTCCTGCTCCCGTGTCTTCAGCTCCTCCTCCAGCTGTTGGCCTCTCTGCTTCTCCTTTAAGCTGTCCTTCATTTTAAAATGGAGCAAAAAATAAATTAAAACAATTTTGCTTTTTTTTGCTGAATGGTACATTGGTTGAATTACTCAATTTAATTTATTTCTACATCTAGAAGTAGATGCATAGAAAGATTTAAAATAAAACTAGCTTTTAGCATAAGCTACACAAAACTGGAGAAAAACTTAAGTATATTTATGAAGCAAGGATTAAAAAAAAGTGAATTTTCAAATATTTCTATTTCCCTGGGAAATAAATATGAAGAGAAAAAGTTCAGGTTTTCATTGTAAAGGATGGTACTGAAGGTAAAAAGGCTTTTGATTTTGCAGCATTGAATCAGTTTTGGAACAAACTTCAGTTGAAGGAATTTGTGTCATTTTATTCTTTCAGGAACATTTAAAAACCTTGCGTAGATGCAGGCAGTGTGTCATTGACTTTAAGGTGATTTAGGACCTAGGTTTTTAATTTTCAACAATTATATTGTTATTGAGTAAAAGTGTGTGGATCTGTAACTGACTGCTTGTAATTATGCTCTGTCTCTTGCCAGAACATTCTTGTAAAACTAAAAAACAAATATATATTTTTTTCATCCTGGTTAAATAAAGGTTGATGGAGGAGATCTCCTAAATTCACTATGTGAGAAGTGCAGCAAATAAGCTCCAGTGGAGATGTGGGGGGATTACTAAATCTCCATAACAACCAGACTTTTGAACACATCTTTGCCAAGAATGCCAGAACTTGAAAGCATTGTATACCTGTACCTGAGCGGCCCATTTCTCTTTTTCCTCCCTGATCTGGCTTTCCATTTCTTCATATATGGATCGGACCATCTTGTCATGTTCGCTCTCCCTTCTGAAGCAGAACGGGTTTAAAAGATTAACTCTTTTTCAAATGGTTTTCATATAAACTGCAGAGCATTTAAGCAGCAGAAGGAAGGAGCGACCTGAGAAGAGCTTGTTCCAGAGTGTCTCTCTCTCTGATGGCGTCCTGCAGGTTGGACACGGCGTGGACTAACAGAGACTCCAGGGCACTGAGCAGCTCTGGGCTGTCTCTCTGGAGCTCACACCACAGGGTGAAAAGCTCCTGCTTGCTGTTAAAAAAAACCACAAAACCATACGCTTAAATTCAGTATATGAAATCTTATAAATAGATATCCCTGTGGTTCACCTGCAACCTAATGTTAGCAAATACACAAGATTTTTTTAAACAGATTGTAAAAGAGTTGTGTAATCTACAGACAGGAGGCAGAAAAGCCCAACAGAAATAAACTATTTTAGTACCTTTGTTGATTTTTACAATATATTGAAAATCTCTATTTTTTCCTGATAGTTTGAAGATTTAGGACCACAGATAAATGACACAGATCATGATTCACATCATTTTCATACTCATTAGCATTCTATGACATCTGGTGCTCAAAGCACAGAGGCCATGCCATCCAGCTAAACACCACACCCTCCTCAGAGACAATATGCTACCGTTTTTCCCCACTAACATTCTGTAAGTAATACATCTTACTCTTTGAACATCTTGTCAGCTCCCAGCTCCATTAGTATGTTGACAAATCTGGCTGCGGTTGGGTCCTGGGACCAGTCTACATCGTCCCTCTCTGCCTCCGATCCATCTGGGCTCAGCTCAGCCGTTTCATCCACACCCATCAGCTCACCTGAGCCAAGGAGCCAATAATATGCTCAGCCTCGACTTCAAGGTAAGTCATAGGAGAGCAACACAAAGCATTCCATGAATTTCAAGTGGAAGGAAAATGATGAATGTTTAACAAAGAAAAATCTTAAAATGTGGAATACATTTGTACCAGTTCACTGATGCCGTTGAAATCCAGGGCAAAGAGTTCACCTGTGTGTCAACAACAACAAAAAAAGGTCCAGATTTTCTGTCAAGTCCTAAGAGGTTTGTTGGTGAACACAAAGGATCATGAAGACCAGGAAATAAAGCAGCCAGGTCAGGGAAAGAATTGTGAAGAAGTTGAATCAACATCAGAAAAATCAAAAGAGTAGGGCAGCACTATAAACCCACCAAGAAATGAGCTTTAACCTAAACTGGGAGGCTAGCCAAAGAGAACATTGGAGAACCAGTCAGAAGCCACTTTCTAATTCTGGAAGAGCCTGCAGATATCCACAAACCTGGTCTTTTTGGAAAAGTGGAAAGAAGGAATACATTACTTAGTTCTAGCATTTTCTTCCAAACGTATGAAACAAGGCGGTCTGGTTTGATGAGACCAAAATGTAACTTTCTGGCCTTTTTGCAAAATGAAATATTTAGCAGAAAACTAACACTGCATATCACCATCTCCATTGTGAAACATGGAGGATGCATCATCATGCTGTGGGGATGCTGGGAAGTATGGCTGTTTAAACACCCAAAAATAGGACAGAGTTAGTCCAAATCTAAATTTAATTTAAGAGTCCGTAGCATTACCTGAAAATGTCTCAGTCTGACTGAGCTCGAGCCATTTTGCAAAAAGATAAACATTTTAAATCAATAAAGTCTTCACAGCTGGTAGAGACAAAACGAAAAAGAACTGCTGAGAAAGGTGGTTCTACAAATACTGACCCAGAAGGGCTGAATACAAATGCAGACACTTTCCATATTTTTATTTGTAAAAGAAAATAAAGTTACTTATCATTTTCCTTCCACTTCATAATTATGTACTACTTTGTGTTAGTCTTTGACATCAAGTACCAAATGTGATTTATTATGACAAAAATGTGAAGAAAAAAAAAATACAAGGGGTATGGATATTTTTCAAGGCAATGTGTCTCACAAACAGCTTTGCTTCGTTTCACAGCCCCACTCACCAAGTCCTGTTTTGAACTCAACAGGAGTGAGAAATCCATTGTTCTCTCGGTCCAAACTTTCAAACACAGTCTCCAGTTGTTCTGGGGAGAGCGGCAACTCGCCTTCTAACCTCTGACCACAGAACCAAAAGCATAAAAATCAACACTTTAAAAATTAATGTCCTTAAAGCTGCTGCTCTACTAAACCAGCCATTGTACCTGCATGTCCCGTTTTGTGATGAACCCTTTCCCCTCTTTGTCACACAGGACAAAGAGCTCTTTGGCTTTGCCCATGGTCTCTGCCTGTGGGCTCAGCGGCGTCGGCTCTCTGGCATGTGGTGAGGCCAGCGGGCTACGTCTTTGACTCAGCCTGGGGCTGCCAGACGGTAGGCTCCTCAATCTGGGGCTTAGTGGGACCGCCTCACCCCTGCCTTGGCCCACCAGCACTTCACCATCATTCAGCCACATAGACATTCCTATAGGGAGACAAAAAAGAGGAAGAAATGATTCAGTCATTATGTTCTGTCTATCTCTAGTCTACAAAACAGGACTTTAACTCTCCTGATGAACTGGAACCAATGTCTTGCTTGCATGATTGTAGAAAATGCCGTTTTAAATTAGCAAGAAAGTGTCCGTGAGACTACTCCCTTGTTAAACACGGTGCAGAGTAAACTGTGACTAAGCACATGACACGAAGGCTGTCAGTCCGAGCTACATCACATTCCATAACAGTTTCAGATATCTTGTATCATGCCACAATAACTGAAGGAATTATTCCTTCATATTTATTGCCAAATTATCAATACAAGGTGTGTCAAGATCATATACAGATTTGCAGAGCACAGCAAGTTGTTCTCCCTAAAAGGAGAGTAGGACATGTGTGATTAAAAACAGGATGGTGTCATATGAGAAGAATTATGTGTTCTTGAAGGGGAGAGCAGCTAGAACGAGAGAAAGCGATGCAAATTTAACATTTGCAGTTGTTTGCATTGTCAAAGCTACCACAATTACAAGCAGATTTAACTCCAAAGAGCTACGGGTAAACAGCATTAGTAGCTACATCAACATTTGGAATTTTCTATTGAATACAAGGATCTATAATTTTTTTTACAGTAAGAGTGAATTCACATAAGTCACATTTTTCATTATAATCCAACAAAAGCAATTTTGGTCTTAAATATGTTGGGGTGATTAACATCCTCAAGCTTAGTATAACATGCCTTGACCTTTCTACTGTATCTTTCTGCTCCGCTATCTGTTAAAACATAAAACAAAACGCTGATAATAGTTGTAAATTATCTAGCTGGTGGTCTGGGAAGTTTTCAAAACTAAAGGATATAGTACACCAGATAAGAGACTTGTGCAAACATTGTGTTTTAGAGATTTAGTGTGTCAGTCGAACTCTAAACAAGCCAGAAGCCACACCAAAGTTAATAAACTGCAATAGACTCTATTCATTTTACATTAATTTTAAAGAGGTGGCAGAAGATGTTCCGCTTAAGTGGTTCAACTTCAAACATATGTTCCCAAAAATACCAGAGCACTTGAGATAAAATAACAGGTTTAGCAAACAAAACGGTTACAAAGTGCATATCTGCGTTTGAAATTGCACATATAATTTTGTTAAACGCATTTAGGACACGTGTAATGCTCTTAAGTGAATGCGAAACTTGAAACTTAAGGCAGCATTTCAAGCAGAGGAAACAAAACCCACCAAAATAGACCATTAAAAATTAATTAAAGCAGAAGCCCCCCACGGAGACAACAATTTACAGTGAACTAGTGAAGTAAAAAGAGGGTCAGAGTTAATTTAAGGGACAAATGTTGCATAATAAGCTAACCGAAGTTGGAAAAAGTTTGATTACTTACCTGCCGCAGCCGCGTTACTACGCAGTCCACTACCTTTGATCACTTAAGTCACTCACTCAAGTTCCTGTCTTAGACACTAGAGGGCGACTGCACGTTTCATATATTTACCGTAATGTTTACAGTAGCCAGGAAAATTGAATTTTTGGCTCTTGCTACATTACATTAAGCATGGCATTGGCTCACTGTTTGTAAAATAATATATTTAAAACAAATATTTGTTCATATGGCACTGGGTAGTCTTGGCACTTAATACATTTCAGAGTTGCTGGTCAGAAATGAAGCACGTTGACTTTTCAAGTCATCAGAGACCACACTGCGATGAATTTCATAAAAGTAAGGGATGTACAGAAAAAAATGGTTCCTTGAAAAACATCTCTGTAAGCAATACTACTACTAATAATAATAATAATAATAATAATAATAATAATAATAATAACAACAACAACAACAATGCTTTGCTCAAATTAAACTCTCGCTCTTTTGATGTAATTATTTTTTATGTGTTTACATGAATTAACTTCTGTTGTTTTATTTTTTTCTTTAAAGCAGTTTCACTTCACTTACTATGTTATGTTGTGCTACACAAATGAACTTGCCCTCGCTTTGCTGCCATTACGGTAAAAATGAAGCGTTACCATGGAATTACGGAAATACATGCGATACTGCTGAAAAAGGCTGGGGGATGCGCTAAGCGATCATCGTTTTGGGGGGAAAAAGTAGAAAGAGGTGAAATGAAGAGCTACTTTTACTTCAGGTGAGTAGATAATGACCATTTTCTTAAACTCTGCTTGTATAACAGTCGCTGCTGTTGTAAAGGTGTGTAGATTTTGTAGAAATCCCACAGTTATCGTCTCCGAGATTATCCGCTACCAAAACAAAACAGCGCCAGACAGTCGTCATCAGGGGAATAAAAGCAGATGGAAGAACAACAACAAAACAAGAGATTGTCGTCGTGCCTGCGTAAATTTAGTTCGCTCAGAGCCATAATCCCAGCAGCGACCTTTACACATGCCTGCCTGTGTAACAGCATGATGACCTTACATGGATGGGTTTACTTCTAATTTAGCTGTCTGAGGCAGAGGAGCTCTTACATCAACTCCTCGTATCGGTGGAGATTTCCCAGGATGTTATGTTCTGCTGGAAGTTTTCCTTTACTCTGCAACGTTTCTGTTATTTTACTGCCTATGTTTTTTTCTTTGTAGGTGATGCATTCAAGGGGTTATTCTACATGAAGGATGCCATCATACAGGATAAAGCATGCTCAAGTACCAGAATTTCGCTGACAGTTTGGACAGACTTGTGTCCTCAGATTTCTTTTACCTCTGCCAAAAAATATTTCAGAACATTTGTTCTAAAAAGGCAACCAAATAAATTATGTGAATGGACTATTTTTCCACTTTGTATAACCAAATGGACCGTGTTTTTGTGCTGAAGAATGTACGGGGTTCATGCTAAGCGAATAGATCGACTAGTCAGAAGCGTGAAGGAAACCAGCCAAAGGAAAAGAGGACAGTGAAGATCGGGTCAAAGATGCTTCAGACTGGAAACTACTCACTGGTGCTCCTAATCCAACTGGTCCTGCTGGCCTATGACCTCTTCGTTAATTCCTTTAGTGAACTTCTGAGAGGAGCTCCTGTCATCCAACTTGTGCTTTTCATGTAAGTCACAGAATATGATAACTTTTTAGATATCATCTGATTAAAGTTAAATAGTGGTAGATCTGAGAGATAAGGCTTTTTTAACCAATATGATTTCTGAGATATTTTTTTTATTTCTGAGCTGCCAAATCTGATTTTGAATGATTTGCATTTTTAAGAAATTATAACACATAAAGGAAAAAAAAAAAAAAGACTTGTGTCTGGGTCTTTGAGGTTGTAATCAAACAGAAAATGAAGGACTTAATAATCCCAATGTGTACATCAAAGCACAGCCTTTTTTCCTCTCACAATAACAAATTTTGCTTGACAATAAATTGTCCCAGAAGTTATTGTGATAAATGATAATATTGTTGTTTTTAGATTATTTTCACATAATATAATGGTAGTGGCATAATAATGCAAGTTCACCCTCTTTAAGATCAGTAATCTTTAAATTCTAACGAATATTTAATTCTGGAACTTGCAGACATGTTAAGTATCCAAAATAAATAAAAACAACAGAAATGACAAACAAAATGAGTTATGAAGTCTCTGTTAACAAAATTGTCCTTCAAAAAAGGGCTAGCTGAGACCAATGCAGCAGACTGAAGACTTTTGGTGTCCAGTCTTTGGTAGAAAGAGGGAGAGAAAAAAAGATAAATCATGCAAATGGAAATTACCAAGCTTGCTTTAATGCAATTAATTGATTTATTGCTTATTGTGACAAGCCTATTTGTCCCTAATTTTTACCAGATTTTTTTTCCAAAAGCAACATTTCCTGAATAGTTTTTCAGGATTTATCAGTAGTCAATCAAGGGAAAATAGAAAAAGTCTTAAATGTCACCAATTGATTACTGCATCTGTTGTAATAAATATATTGGAAACCATACAGTTGGTTTTCATTTAATTATATTAACTGTTGCACAGTTAATACAATTAATTGTATAATTAACTGTGCAGTTAATACTGTATTTCAGTTAATACAATTAGCTTAAAATTCAAACAATTGAAAGTGACGAGTGTCACTTTCATTAGAAAGTAATACAGATTTAGCTCTACACACACGAAAAATAGTGTCTGATGTGAGAAAAAAAAAAAATCACAGTTCAGTTTTTTACTTGATTCCTGAACTTAAGCATTCCAGAAATTATACCTCCGTCATATATTTTAGTTTTTCTCTTGGCATTAATTTATTACTGGCTTCTAAATTCCATGTGTTTAAGGAGACGGTTGATTGAAAGTTTTGTCTTAACTGAAGATGTTTCAGGAGTTTCTTCAGGAACTGAAGCAGCCTTTTAGATGAGAAATCCAGTTTCTTAGATTTAGTTCATCGTCTTTGCACAAAGACACAACAGTGAATGTGGCAACGAAATTATGTTGTTTGGCTGCCAGAGTACACAAGAAAATTACTGAAAAACTATAAGTAAACTATAAATATGTACAGATATATAAAAGTCATGTTGCGTATGATTGATAATCTGCAACAGATTTGCCGGTGGGTAAGTTCTCCTGGTGCCAACTAATGTGGTGTTTCTCAATTTAAGATAGAAATCTGATTTGATATTATTTAATTCCACCGTTGTTTAGGTCTACCAGTGTTTTAAAAATAGTATGTACCAAAATTAGAGTAAGAACATCGAGTAATGCTGACCTGCCCCTCCTCCACCTGGTGACCAAAGGAGCACCATCCAGCATTCTTAAGACTGAAGGCTCTACCCAAGCATAAAGCTTATTGTTGTGTTACTATATAAAGAGCAGGACAGCAAAGCAGTAGATTATTTTGTTCAAGATGCCAGTCAGAATCAGTGACTGGAAAAAAAAAACCCACCTCATGTTCTTGTCACCAGACCAAAAACGGCACCCAAAATAAACCAACAAAAACTGTGTTTGCAGCATCCAGGACATCGCCATCTTGTTCAACGTCATCATCATCCTCCTGATGATGTTCAACACCTACGTCTTCCAGGTCGGCCTTGTGTCTGTGCTGCTGGGCAGATTCAGGGCTCTGCTCCTTTTCTCCGCTCTCTACCTGACCCTCAGCATCTGCTTCCACTGCTGGGTGTTGGTATGCTCCGGCCTTCACAGACAGTTTGTGTGCAAACAGAAACTCAGAAATTAAGACATTTCTGACTTTACTTCTACACTCTTTCAGTGTTCAGTGCCGTGAAAAAGTATTTCACCTCTTTACAGATTTTTTTTTCCAGACAATTTAAAATTTTCAATACCAAGTACAGTTTTAAAATGATTTCATTTATTGAGAAATCAACTCAACCATTAATTAACCACATTTTCCAGGAAAGCCACATCTGTGCCTGGTTACTGGTCCAACCAATCAAGAAATCACTTGAACAAAAACTTGTTTGACAGCATGAAGTAGGATGTGGCTCAGGAGGTAGGGGTTCATGTTGTAATTGGTGGGCTGCCAGTTTGAACCCCTGTTCCGTCTGTCTCAGTCACTTTCCTGTTGTATCTTTGGTCAGAGGTGGTACCTATTGAGTGGCAGCCTCTATTCTGTCAGACTGCCCCAGTGGCTACAATATAGCTTACCACCATTAGTGCCACTAAACAAGCCAGTTACTGATTGCAAAGTGCTGTGGAGTCCTCTGACTTTATAAAATGATATACAAGTGCAACCTCTTTACCATTACCATTAAAAAAAAATTGCGTAAAGCAAAACATCATCCCCCAATAACACAACGCTCCAAGAAAAGAATACAGAAACTCTAAAGCTGTAAACCTGATGTTTGCCAGACAAAATCTATGTTTATTAATCAAAAACAAAAATGTAATCTTTATATTTAGTAAAATGTTCTCTACAGCTATTTAAAACACTCATGGATGGGTCAGCCAATTATAAGACCTATGACATAATTCCTTTTTCATATAATGATTAAGTTGGTTTGGATTGCTTTTTCCCCTCATTCAGTGAAATCATCATTGAAACATAATCTTGAGAGATCTGTAATGGGGCAAATACATTTTCACATCCCTGTGTAATTGCTTTGCATTGTGAGCGTTTTACCTTTTCGCTCCTAGAACCTAAGATGGCTCGACTCGAACCGTTTTGTGTGGACAGATGGTCTTCTGGCTCTCTTTGTTTTCCAGAGAACAGGTAATTAATTCAAAGATAAAACAGACGCAAACGGAGTTACTGCTGGTTTTCCTTACAGCTTGTGTCTGTTAACAGCGGCTGTGTTGTACTACTACTTATACAAGCGCACAGCGGAGCACATGGGGGACCCGAGGCTGTATGAGGACTCTATGTGGCTGCGTGATCAATTTGCCAGAGCTCGTCAGTGACAACGGGACAGTGTCGAGAGAAACAATAAAGGCTCCTTGTGGAAACTGCCAAGACTGGGCATGCTCACCAGTGACTGATATCTGAATGATTTCCTTAGATTTTATGCTTGTAATGTGTTGAACTCAAAGAGAATTGCCATTGAGCAGAGATTGAACTCACGCTCTGTTAGTGAATGACTCAGAGTATCACAGTTTGTTTTTATCTGGCTCCTCAAAGTGAGGCAGACAGGCAGTTAAATGGTTTACACTGGCAGGCAAACCAAGGATGGTACATGTAGTATAGTATTAATCAGGATTGAGCCTGTTAATCTTTGTGGCCTTTTTAAAAACAATCTACTACACACTTACTGCAAACGAAAGAAAGATAAAAGTTTGGCCTGCCTTCATTTAATTTTATGTTTTGTACCCATTGACTCTAAGATGTAGTCCTTGTCCATTTGGTAGAATTTTATTATTTCCCTCAAAGAAAGCAATCAGATGTTTTTGTTTGCCTTAATAAAATGTTAGCCTGTGCTGTTTACATTGTAAAAGTGAGTTAAACAAGCCAATTTCTATGTGAACTTTGTTGGGTTTTTAGTTGGAATCTTTGTATGTGTTCAATGTTTTTTTTTTATTAAATAATCCTCATCTAATTACGGTGTAATCCTTCATTACATTAGTAGGCTAGTCAGTATTATCCAGGAGACAAGGTGAAGCAGGGTGCCCTATTTTTAACCCAAAGATTAATCAGGGATTGAGGCTTTAAGGTGCCACTAGTAAAACACACTACAAATAGCCTTCAGTGTGTCAAAATAACTTACTATTCTCAACCTGGTAAAAGCTGCGAGGTTGTTTGAGACAGGTAGTATCATTTGAACTACCCGTTTTGCAAACGTAGCTGTCCCACTATGTCCTGTTTTTATTGCAAATTTAATTTTTTTAATGTGATTGCCCAAAACAAAATGGAGCTTAATTGTGAAAAGGATAAAAAAAAATTATACATGGTTTTTATTATTTTTCTACTAATAAAAATATGAAGATTGGCATGCATTTACATTCAGTAGTCACGATTTAATACTGAATAGAGCCTTCCACTGCAGTAAGGATTCTTGTCTTTCGAGGAATATCAGAATGATATTTGTATATCTAAAGACTGAAATTTTTGCCCCTTCTTTGCAAAGTAGCTGAAACTTAAGTGAGATTAAAGCCTCCATGATGGCACAATTGTTAGCACTGTCGCCTCGCAGCAAGAATGTCTTGAGTTGGAATTCCTGCCAGGGCTTTTCTGCGTGGCTTGTATCTTCTAGAAATACTCTGGCTTTAGAGATGAATGACTGCAGGCCATCTTAACAGATTTTTAAACCTGAACTCTAAATGACTTTATAACTAATTATCTTTTAGCTAGACAGCCTTAACAGTCTATTTCAATGAAATTACAGATTTAACAGAGCATGAGTTATTGTCGTGCAACATGACCCTACTTTAATCGTAACCTGTCTATATTGTATTATTAAAATATTAATAGAAGAATAACACTCACGAGACTTAAAGAACCACACCATAATTTGTACAAATCCTTTACTTGTGAAATTAAATCCAGAGTCCATGTGATTCAAATAATATTGTCGGTGCCATCAAATTAAAAGCCAGAGTTGTGTTATGATGGATGTTCTTTGTCCCGTTGGAATGTGTGATGTTCTTTTGACTTAGCCACCTAAAATAGCAGGGAAACAGATACAAGTCAGTTAAAAGTGCTTAATAAACAAAAAACCTCCATTAATGTAAAGACAATATTGACATGTACCTTCATACGTAGATGCCCACCCACAGCAGTAAGAAGAGCACACCAAAGCCCATAAAAAGTGAAGCCACCAGTGAGATAAGCAGCTCCTTGTAGACGTCTCTTGTGTATTTTGTTGATGTTACTTCATAACTGATGAAAAGTTCAGGTAAACTCAGACCAAAGTCCCCCCAAAAAAACCCTCTCTCAGTCTAATATACATGAAATGGGCTGGTGAAAGCATTAAAATATCAAACTCACCAATTGGACTTTTTATTCTAATTGTAATATTTGTATTTCCTCGGTTTGTTTTAAATGTCCATAATTATTATTTCTTACTGCCACAATACGTCGTAATTCCAATCATCACTGTAAGGCCAACATAATTCATCACAACACTGGGATTTTTAATGACATTGAACCTGTTGTACTGGCAGAGAAATGCTTGATCTCCCCATTGGTTTTTGTGGGGAGGGGTTTTTTTTTTTTTTTTTTTTTTTAGCTCAAGCTAACGATTCATAAGAATGTGCAATTATTGTACAGCATAGTCTATTTTTTGTGTGTATCCTGACTTTGCTTTTTCAATGTCCACTCTACATCCCCCAGCTGTGAGTTTGATTTCAAACATTCATATACCAAAAGTCCAGTGAATTGATATGTCATCATATATTTTTGTTCAGCCCCTGCAAATTGTGTTGTCTATAACTCTGAAACTCTCCTATTTTCCAATCAATACAGGAGATATTTCAAGTTACATTACTATTTTTTGACAAGTTACAAGTTATAGAAAATGTAAGTTGCCATATATGGCGCAATACATATGGCGCATCCGTAGGGGACAATGAACATTTAATACTCTCCTGTCCTTTATGCTGTGTACAACGGATAGCAAGGTAGCAGAACCAGCGGAAGGATACACGAAGAACCAGGCTGTGAAGAACATTCCGATGGCCAGCAGGACCACAGTGAGATGGGGGAACACCGCTGGGTTCACCGGGCTGGTGTACCTGGTCATGGCCTCTAGTTCCTGCAGCCACAGCAAACACAAGCAGCTTTAAAATACTGAAATTTATCAAAGTAACGCAACATAAAAATAATTTCCGGCTTTGGTAAGTGATACAAATAATCTGAAGACATTTAATGACTTGCTCAGCAACGTTTGCATGCTTGCTAGCTGCTCCATTCAGAAAATGTATTGATTTATCCGGGAACTAGAATACAACGTGTAAAGATGAAGCTATCAAAATATATTAAGGTTGCATGTATAAAAGCATAATATGATATACTTTGAGTAATAAATATAGTAATTTATTACCATTTTGTGACGAAACGAGATTCCCGCAGCTACTGTTCAAGATGAAAAGGCCACGTACTGGTTACTTCTTCCTGGTTTTTTCTGGACGTAGGGATGACGTCATTACGTCAAATAACTTTCTCCCTCATGTTAGCCTTTCAGGAAAATTTGCCTTTCGAATCTCTCACTGCTATATACATTTTGTTCGTTATTTGCTCTGTAAATTTGTACCTAGTGATCTACAATGAAAGAGTCATCAATGAGTCTTTTATTATGTGTGTTCTACCTGAGAGACAAAATTCAGGACATACCGTACTATTTTCTTTCTAGAAATTCTAAATGATTGACTGCCATCCAGTGGACAGGATGAAAAATGATCTTGTAAGTCCCAAGAAAAAGGAGACACATTCAGACATTGCAATAATCAATTTATTTGCTGCATGCAATCATAGTATTACAGCGAATTTTTGACCCCCAAAAAAGCTTTAATAATAAAATGTTTAAAAGTAGTGATATTATTCCAGGCAATAAACTTCATCCTTATGCTTTTCTTCTTTTTCAAATAGATCTAAAATTGCAAATGTGTGCCCATCTTACGCTAAGTTAATATATTATTGATAAAATAAAAAAACTGAAAAAAAAATAAAGGACATCAGATAAAAAGGAGGTACAAAATGATGCAACAGAATAATATGGAATGCAGATCTACCTTGGGAATCTGACATCAGCCTCATGCACTGGATGAAGCAAAAGCAGTTCATATATATATTTATATACAGTGACAAAAGTGCTACAGTGGTTTATGCTAACTGGTGCTTTTTAAATAGCTAAAATAGTACCCTCTACCCACATGAGTACAGTGAAAGAATCACACAGTCTACATTATGAATGCTATAATCTCTGTTTGATGGCTGTTCTTCCCGTTCATTGCTAGTTATCTTTGAGTTACTTTTCTGTTGTTGTTTTTCCTGATTATAGATGTTTTAAACACACAACACATGAGAGTTTTTAATCAACACATTATGTCAGAAAAATATCAAAATATTATTAGAAATAAAAAAGAAAATTAAAAACAAGAAAACATATAATACAGATGTAATAAAAACGCTATCACTGCATAGTCTTAGTTTGTTTAAGGCCTGGGGAAAATGTTTAATAGTGAGCCAACAAAATACGCAGAAGAGTAAAACCAGTGCAAAATTTTCAAATTTATCATTCCCCTTTCAGACACTAAGCTCCAAGATCCAAAAGGTAAAATACACCAGAAGACATCTACCCTCAAAGCCATGACGTAGTATTTAGAGAAATGATTGGACATGCACCTGAAATTGCACCTGAAATGTGCAATTATACCAATTATGCCTTACCAGCATTGTCCAGTTAAAAAAGTACAGTGTAAGCTATTCCAGTGTTGGTGGAAATATTGTCAGTGAAAGACTTTTTTTTTTTTTTTTCCTCTGCCACATCCTAAAAGCAACAGTGTATCATCATGTTTGTTTCCAGTGATTTGTTCTAGTTTCCAGTTTTATTCTACACAAATATCTTCCAGTGATTTTGCAGAAGACTTGGCTCAGGGCCGGGGTCTCATCTCATATTTCCACTACAGCTTTCTATAAGGAGCAACGTCAGTGTAGCCAAATGCATAAACATTTTAAAATGAGTCATTCAGTGTTATAACCCCATACAGTGTTTAATTTATTTTTTACCATAAAGATGAAGTGGACAGTGTAGATGCCAGTAGCAGCCTTAACATGAAGCTCCACTGTGGAGACTAAGGTTTTACCAGGTTTTACTGAATATACCTCTAACTGAGGTATATTCAGTACCGAAGGCATACATATTTTTTGGCTTATGCTATAGATGGAAGACAATTTGATCAAGTGTAAAGATAATCATATATTTTTGGATATTGCTTGGATCGTGAGCATTACAGTATTTAGTGTGTCATATTGCAGCCTCCATAATCACTGGCAGCCCTGCTAAAAATAATGTGTAAAAATATAGAAATCTTTCTTGCAGTTCTGTAATCTCACACAATTCTTTTAAAAAAAAAACAAAAAAACAAAAACAAAACAAAAACATTTTAAAACATTTACTCAGTTCCAAAAATAATGTATTAAGAAATAATACCTTGTAATGAAATCACCATTGGAGACTGCAGCAAGTCTGCTATAATTAATTAACTAAAATTGAACTCTACTTGGTGAGCTAATCAGAAGGTTTAGGAAGTATAACTTTAAGAAATTACTTTATGTTTTCATGGCAGATAAGCATGACATCACAAGGAGCCCCATTTCTCTTAGTCACTCCATAAAATGCAAAAAACAAGAGAACATCTCTCCCCCGTATTGATCATCTATTTATAGAGAAATAATAATTAAAAAATTAAAACAACTTAAGCTGCAATCAAAAAGGCTAGATGAGAACACATTATCTTGCTACCCCCCACAGAAACAAGATGGTAAAGAGCGTAAAATATATCCAAAATAAAATCTCCGTAGCAACAAAAAACTCAGTAACACATGATAAATATTTGTAAATGAATTTGTAATGCCCACTGTTTAGTGACAACAGATCTACATTGTTGTTTGCCTGGTCATCTTCCAAAGGCCTTGTTCGACATAAAGGGACTGCATTTCCAGAATGTTTTGAGTAAAATCTGGTGGCTCCTGTGAAAACTGGTAATGGATCATCATTGGTACTTTCAGTAGTTTAATGATCCAAAACAGTGGGTACAATCAGTCCCAATCTTACCTGAATGCAATTAAAAACATGTGGGATGAATTTAAGAAAATAGATCAAAATGTAATGTAGAAGTTTTGTAAAAATATGATGAAAAGAGTAATGCTTAAAGGTCCCTCTGTCTGTAAGTGGTTCACACATTGCCATGGATACATCTTTCTTTCAGTCTGAATCATGACACACATTTCACCCACATGTTAGATCATTCAAAAATAATCACAGCTGAAGTTATTTTCCGGATTTTTACACATTTTGAATGAAGGGTGCCAACAATTATGGAGGGCACTGTATTCCAGTGATCACAGGAATCAGGAATCACTTACTAAAAATTCATTTGGTACAGATTGCAGTTGGGACAGTGGTAAATTTTGTTCTTCATGAAAATCTTTAAAATTATATACAGTAATAAGGAAAGATCATTCTATCATACACAGTCTGCATCCAGAACCACAAACAGGAAATACACGATGAAGTGTGAAGAAACAGGCACACATCAACTTCCTCTTCACACACAGCTGCTTTGAATGAGAAAATGGTAGTCAGAGTGCAATGGGATTTTTTCTTCTGTGGCACAACTCACTTCTCCCTGTAAACAACAACAACAACAACAAAAGAACAAATATATTAAAATCAACACATTCACAGAAAATCAAAATTATTCCACAAGATTTAGAAAACTGAGGGAGTCAGATGACAATTTTAGTATCTGAGTGAGTCCCTTATTTTTCTAGGTCAGGTTTACTCACCGAGTGAGAGACACGGAAGTGATAGGTGACGTCTTGGAAAGACGAAACAGGTACTGACCAGAGGTGATGCGTCCCCTTGGAAACAAGCAGAGATTTTATCCGTGACGCAAATAAATACGGTATGCTGTGAAAATATAAATAGTTTATATAAGCGATGCTGATCATTTTTGGTCAGATATACCTTTGTAGATGTACTCTGTCCACTATAGAGCTCTGACTCTGTGTGGTTGGGACATAAACGTCCTTTGGTGGCTCCACATTGTTTCACCCATACACTATTTCTTGACCTGAGAAAAAAAGAAAATATATTCATTACCATTTTTTTTTAAAATAAGAACATTACTACAGCATGCATTCCCATTGTATCTTCAAGTCAAAGAGAGAAAGACAACAAAAAAGGTTAACAATGATGGTAAACAAAATCAAAATCACGTTAATACAATCAACAAAAACAAAACAAAACACTAATAAAAGTAAATGTTGTTAAACTAAAGTGTGAAAGAGCAGTGGGGAAAAATGGCCAGTACTAAACTTAACATTATCAGAAAAATTGTTCAGTTCAATATGAACCTAATAATATATTTTTTCTTTGTTGCAGCAGATACCTCTGAAATCAGGGTTTTAATGAGCTGAAAACACCTTGATAAAATAAAATTTAGTAAGTTATCATAATAGGTTTACACTTCTCACCACTTGAGAAATGCCTGTCCTTGTTGAAGCCTTTACAGATATATGAGTTTGTTGATGTCTTTGTCATTAGTAACTCAAAAACCGGAAGTCGGAAATCTTACTGTTACAATTGTATTTGGAAGATATAAGAAATAATAAAAAAATAAGTGCAAAATCTTATTTAGGATATTATACTTTAATCTCCTAGAAAATAAATCAAGGAAAAAATATCTGGGAACACAAATAATGAGATCCATGACATTTTAAGACCTAATAGAAACCCTGCAATTATGATTAAACACAATCACATCATTTGTGTTATAGTGCACCCATGCTATACTTACATCATGTGTAGTGTAATTTGTGGTATGGAATGATTTTTTTGTCCCCTAAGTGATAGAGTGTAGCTGCGGAGGGACACAAAACATGCATTAATAAGAAATATTAATGCAAAAGTCATAGCAAAAATATCTATATATGTCCACCTATAACCAATATTTATTATTCTTCTAATTTCAGACCTGCAGCTTTCCGCTGACTCACAACTTTGTGAGGTGATTTCTTGGTTTGTCTCCACAATGTGAACACTTCTTAGAGACGGAGCTGTCGCTGTTACTGTGATGGAAAAACAAAATGTATCATGTTCTCTAAGCCAGCCTTATACCGTCATACATTAAATACACAATCTCGATTTTGTGGTCATTAAACCCAATTCTTCTTCATATTATTTGCGCGCTGCCTGCTAATGTGTAGAGAAGTGTCATGGCTGGGTTGTGGTCATGTAGGTACCTTTAGCATGCAGGCTGCGTTGTCTCCGTGGTGCTGGCTGTTGACCTGGAGGCAACCGGTTGGTGGTTCCCACTCCCTCTGCATCTGGGGATACAGGTCTCTTGGACTTGGCAAAGTACATGGGTGCTGATGTGTGGCTGAGACGGTTCCTGCTGTGGCCGTCTTTGTCCATTTGCCTGGACTTGGCCTTTTTAACGATGGTACCAGGAGTGGGAACTGGGATGCTCAAACCTTGAGAGGACAGACAATTCATCTGTACAGTGAGCACATCTGCTGTGTAATAAGAGTACATGATGTGTTAATGTTTCTCACCAGATGTGGATTGGTTACTACTCAATGTCAGAGTGGTTGCTGATTGGTTGTTCACAGCTGTGGTTGAACAGCAAGCTATTATTGTTTAACATAAAGGGGGGAAAACACAACATGATTGATCTTAATTCATTAAACTGAATAATTTCACACTCAAACTGAAGTCGATAGTACCTGGTGCAGGTGTGGTAGAGACTGAAGTTAAAGGATTCTTGCGGGATGATTCCAGTGCAGCTCTTGACCTGCACCAATCAGAAACATACTTTAATGCATTCCAGTGATTTATATTATGACCATATGTGGTACATAATCCCATTTCACACAAAACAGAAACAGCTGAGCAATTTAAGTTAGGAATGACAGAGCTCAAGGAAACTTAAGTTGTAGAAGAGCTGGCAGTGTACCATGTGCAGACAGGCGGACAGACAGTTATAGTAGCAGTGAAGATAGGCATCCATGAGATGTAGAGAACACAAGAAGAAACATGGCTACAGGAAACAGAGACATAGTTAACAGAATCATTTTAAAAGTAGGAATGGACAGATGTTGTGGTAAGCTTGTCTCTGAATCTGAAAAGTGCATACCCGTCTTTCTCCGTGATGGCTCCTCTATGGTGAAGAGTAAGGACGTAAAGGACTGACATCGAAATGACGCTGCAAACAAACAAGCAAACAGGCAAGACATAATCAAACCAGATGTATGCATAGGAACTTCCACGTACCCCATTACTGCACCTGGAACCCTGCGTACAAACCTGAAGGCCATGACAATAAGAAGAGCCAGGATGATTCCCTGCATGAACCTCTGACTGATGCAGCCCTGATCAAGAGGAGAGCTCTGGAACAGGCAGATTAAACACGATGACATCTGCACAAACTGCAGTTCACCAATATGTAGGTAGTTTTGCAAAGCACTGTATAACTTAAAAGCTATAATTCAGCCACACACCTTGCTCCCGGGTTTGACCATTCTTTTCTTGAGTGGACCACTTCCTGTTCTGCTAAAATAACTTCCTGACTGGCTATAAAGACACACAAAAAATTGTTTTCATGGAGCATGCGGCACATTTTAGATGGACCTATGCCTCAGAATCAAAAGGGATTGGCGTTTCTTTCTCACCTCACCGTGCTGCCGCTCACTGTGCTCTTCATGCTGTCGAGGCGCCGCAGCTTGGCCAGTTTGCGGCTCCAGCGCTCAAGTTCATCTATGCGAGTCTCCAGGTTGTCCGTCAGCTTGCAGAGCTCCTTCACAGCTCCAACATTCTCCATAAAGATACGCTCCTTCAAAAACAGCAGGACACAATCAGTGTCAACAATATGTAGAAGTTCAGCTTGTTTGAAAATGTATTTCTGTACAATCCTTACCTTATTGACAACTAAAAGGTTGGGGATAGTTTCTCCATTGGCACAAACGACATCACCTCCTTCCTTAACAGCTTCAGGTAGGATCTGCTGAACTTCCTGAGCAATGACACCTGCATGGGGAGAAGTAGAAGTATAAAGAGCATCAAGAAGATGTGACAACATGCGGATGATGAAAAATGCACAGACACATACTGTGCTACACATCGTGCCAGGAAGATAAAGCTGCAGAAGTAGAAATAATTTGTGAAGTCATTACCTGTCTCCGCTGTGTTCTCTATGCCCACGGTCGCAGCAAACTCAGGTTTGTATTGGTAATGAACCAGCCTCATCTGAGAAATCCGTTTCAAATTGTCTGTGGTGTTAACCTGATGAAAGATAACAGCACTGCATGAATACAAAACGTATGATGAAGAAAGTAGCTTTATATAAGAAGTGTTAAAACACCGTTTGAAATGCAGAAAAAACACAATGCAGCTACATTATATAAGACAACATATGATGTTTTAAATGGTGAACTTTTCATGTTTTATTTGATATCAGAATAGCTAACGAAGCAAAGATAACAGCTAAAAAAAATACTAGGAAAATGATGTAATGCTAAAGAAAACAGAAGAAAATTTCACAACATTTCGACAAAATGTGTAATAGTCCCCCACAATTCCCCAAGAGTCAAACCTCACTGGTTAATTTATAAAAGGCTAAAAAGGAAACAAAGGAGTGTCAAAACTTTTCTGAATTATAATTCTAGGATCAAATATATAATGGGTGGATAGGTTGATGAAATTCAATATTCCAGAGTTTTGTCATTGGTTATCTGCCTTTGTGCTATTTTAGACAGAAAGTAATAGTAATATGTTTGTTTTTTTCTTTGGCTTCATCTGGTTGACTAAGTGTGAGCTATTATTATAAATCTAGAACTCGAAGGTGTTTGAGCTCTGATGTATGCATGTTTAAGACTTATTTTGAAGTATAAATGGATGTACTTCCTTTTTTGGTGTGTTATGTTGACAGAAAATTAAAATGGAAATGAACACTACTTTCCAGGCAGGCAAACAAAACTTAGCAGCCTTAATCTCTTAACATATAGGATAGAAATACAATATACAAAAAAAGAACATTCTCAGTTCTTCTTTGGCTCTTCTTTCCAGGACTGGAATATTGTAAACCAATTAAAAACCTTTAAATCACAGTTCATGACTAATCAAACCTTTAATCCACCTGTGAAATCAAATTTGCAGGATTTTTTAGATTTCTCCTACTATTGATAGAATCTTGTTACATCTTGTTTACTTGATAAATATTTTATCCAGTGAGATGTGCGCATTGTTGCACCCCTTGTGCTATGTAAGGGGTACAAGGATGACATCTGAAATTTTTTTAGAGCACCCACAGAGTCACACACACTCATCCTGACCTCCTGGACATTTTCTTTTGCTCTGATGTCTGATGGATGGACAAGGGATCCCATGACTTTGACGTTGCCATGAACAACGAGAGCCTCGTCTGGACGGTCTGTACTGATGCCGACTCTGCCGTGGTGGTACACAGAGTCTGGCAGCTGCCCACGCTGCCACAGAACCTCATTATCACTTTCAAATTGGCCTGGGTTGGATGCCTGTCCAAAAAAAAAAAAAAAAAAAAAAAATCAAAGGAAGAGGTACACTGGGAATCAGATTCACATATTAAAAAAATAGCAATGTGGTACACATTGGAAGTAAAACACATATTTGGAAATATTGTGCTTACAGTCATGGTAAAAAAAAAAGTATGTCCATCTTACATTTTGTAAGAACAATCTGGGCTTTACCGTGTCCTGAAGACATTTAAATCTAGCCTTAAATGTGTAAACCCAAATTATATATATATATATATATAAATAAAAATATGAAAAGAAGAAACACTGGAAAACCTACAGCTCCGAAATCAGAGCTTCATACAAAATCCCAGTAAATAAATTATTTTTGTTTTTATTTTTTACCATGGCTGTGCTTGCTTTATATACATTTTGATTATCACATCTACACATTTTTACATAATAAAAATCTTATTTTTATATCACAATGATAAAAGCAAAATCTCCAAAACAAGTAAATGGTCTTGTTACAAAAGAGACACATTATGTTTCTCTATCTGATGCAGTTATGATAAATAATTGTATAATATATTCAACAAACATTGCTGTCCAGCAAAAAGCTTTTGTCTGAAAATTTGAGATTTCATGTTTTAAAGGGCAAATGTTAAACTACTTCAGACTCAGTAAATCTATAAATTTTAATTGGCCTTTCTATTGTTTTTAACAGCAATCCACTTTTTAAACCCTCCTTTTGGAGCCATTTCTCTAAAAGTAGCTAATTCTTGTGATTCACAGTTTTCCGGAGAAATATAAGTATCTGTGTAAATCAAACAAGAATGCTGATCAGAACCGGAGTAGAAATTATATTTCTGCTCAGGTTATTATAATTTTCTAGTTTTTTAAAATTATAATATAGGCCATGAGTGGTCATTCACCACTTTGGCAAACTAGCCTGGGCTTTCCACACATCACTTTTAAATTCAGGGTGTGATGCTGGTTTGTTAGATCTCCAAACATTTTTTTTTGGTCTTCTCACTTGACAAATCACAATCAGTCTTTGCCTTTCTGAGCTAATATTCAAGCTAGAGACATTGTTGTTGCTATTTAGACAATTTCTTCCTAGATTTTGGACATATAAATTGAAATTGCAATCCGAGCTACGAGTCTGAACATAATTGTTGTAAGAAGTGATGATAAATGTCCTTTAAGATGAATTACAGGACAAAGGACCATGAGGAATTAAAAAAATTACTTAAGAATATGCAACGGCTTAAATGCTTTAGATTTAAATTTTTGTAACCTTTTATATACTTATATTTGAAACTATACTCCATCTCTTTGTTCACACCATTATTTGTTGCATCACTGCTGACATAATCAGCCTTCAAAGTTTGCAGCCCGTAATTCGGACACACCCTGCGTCTACATCAACTCAATTTGGTCATGAAATAGAGAAATTTTCTGAATAGTCTTTTTACAGGACAGCAGCATCATGTATTCTTTCATCATTTGAGCTCTGGGGAACAATTTATTTTTTCAAAATGTAAAGGTAAGAACATTCACACAGGTTAAAGGAATGGAGAGGATGAGGTTATAAAGGGCCAAGCAGCTGATGAACAGAAAAGTTTCACATTCACACGGGATATGATTGCTGTAAGAAGGAAACAGACATGGCCAGACGTTACCCTGACGATGATCCTCTCAGACACATGTGCAGCCACAGTGTAGCTCTGACTGTGGGACTGTGCATGCAGGGCCACTACCAGCATGAAATACCTGCAAAGATTAATGCAGTCAAAAACAGGAGACTCCTAAGGGTCATAAATGTATTCCTGCAGCACACTTTGTCCACCTCTGATCGGGATTTGGTTTGCCCTTCTTCCTCATGTTATTTGCTGTGGTCTCGCTGAAGTGGAGTCGTCCTACTGTAACTTTGGTGACCTGCTCGGGGGGCAACGTGACCCTGGCACACAAAGACAAATACAATGATGGCATGATTGAGCTTATGATTGTTTCAAAGTGATTTAAGGGGCATGTACTTACAGCACTGGCTTGAAAGGCCTCTTGCTGCGATCAGACTGCGACTGTTCCACACTGATCGATTGATTCATGGCTTCCACCTGCCGGAGAAGAACAAAAATTGAGTATTTAATAAACACACACCCTTACACTCAGTGTCAAATTAAAGGTGTGAGTGTTTTTCCATTTCATTATTCCTTAAAAACATTAATCAATCTACAATCTACAGGCTATGGAAAGTAATAAATGTCAGGTTGTCCGTCATCCAAGGACCTAATCAAGCCAAGTTGGTACCATACATACATCAGAAATCATGCTTTGACTATCCAGCATGTTTCCTTCACCTTCACTCCATGGAGTTTGAGATAAAAGCAGTCGATGGGCTGCAGGCCTTCATTCGTCTTGATATATTTAGGGTCCCCAAGCATCCCGATATACACTGTGACCTGGAAGTGGTTCTTCTTCTGGCATACAAAGGCATCGTCAGCCAAGGAGAAGTTGAAGCCTTTATCAGCATCGACGCGGTAGGTCGGCATCGGTCTAAACAGGGAAGAAGGAAATCTACTGAATTTACAGGTTGTTTTCACAGAATGTTACTTTTATGTAATTAAGTTGCACTCTAGTATGTTAAAGGTGACTTTTTCTTTATTATTTTATGTAAACTTATATGTTATTTTCTGTAAAATAAAAGGTTACTTTCCAAGAATTTATGAATTATGTTTCCATAAAATACAAATTATTTTCTCTCAGCTTAAGTAAATTATTTTTTTGATATTGATTTTAAAGATGTACTTGTTCCCCTGGCAGATTTTTTTCACTTTATTAACAATTATTAACATATTATAAGTGAAAAATCTGCCAATGGAACTAGTATTTTTTAATTATTGACTTGAAACAAGATCCTATATCTCAAGAATTTGTTTTGTCTTATTTCAAGTGTACTAAAATACTTGCGCTCGAAACTAGACCAGAAATACTTTTGTAGGTTTCATTTTACAAGTTCAGAAAAACTGAGCGGTACAGCCAGAAAAATCACAAGCTATCAACAAAATCTTATATTTCCAAAGCATTAACATGGCTATTCATCTGTATCCTTTGGCTAATTGGAGGTCACCTCAGATTAAATGTTCCCTTAAAATTTTGTAATTTTGGAAAAGTTACTCCCGTATATTTTCATAATTTAAGCATTGTGTGCTTAGAGCTGCAATGGTCAACCAGGTGGTTTTGATAACATATCTCAAAGGTCCTGGGAGTTCATTCCAACCTCTCTCCCTATCTTGTTTGGCACTGCAAAAGCACAACGAGGTGCAATACATTTTTTTTCCCCCACTTTATCCTTGTCGACGGTGCCTGTCTAAATTGAAACCCTGCTCTTGTTCACTCCCACATAAACCTCACTGCGCAGGAATGCTGTGGAAAGCCATTACTTTTCCACTCCTGTCGTGTGGTTTCTTGAAATATACAAGTAACCAATTAAATCATAGTTCATTTATGACTCTACAAAATCCATGAATCTCTTTTTGCTTCTGGACAATATAGCAAAGATGAATTCCACGCACAGGTCCTTGCCGTTGGCATCATAAAGGGGCGTCCATTTGTTCTGCTGGTGAGGCTGCCACTTGATGCACTGATAGTTTGGGTCCAGGTAGGTGTTGTCTGCATCCTGCATCAAACCTGCGACAAACACGTTTAAAACAGCTGACTTTAACGTGTTGAAGCTTCGCGTAATGAAAATTCTGTTCTGTAAATCTGTGTTAAGAGTTAGTGAGAGCTGGTGAGCGTGAGGCAGAGGAGGCGAGGGAGGTAGGGGAGAAAGATGCCTGCCTACCTGGTTCTTGTTTGATGATACCTGTGAGGATTTGGGAATTCAAGGTGCTGTTGGGAGACTCAGAGTGCTTCCTCTTCTTGGCTTGATGAACAGGGATGCTGCTGCAGAAACAAGATCAGAACTGATTGTGTCTGATGTTTTCAACACACACTGGCGAAAACAACCCTATCCGCGGACTCACTCTTGCCCCTGAGGATGCTGCAGCAGCTGATGGAGCATTTGTGTCTGCTGCATCTCCCCACCCCCACTAGTCGCTGGGCCGATATGATACTGCGAGATCATGGGCTCTGGCTTTAGGTACATGTCTCGATGCATGCCAGGATAGTGGCCGTGTGGAGGGAGAGGCGGCGTCGGAGTCATCTGGCACATATTCTCTGGAGTCATGGTTCTGATCATTTGAGGATCTAAACCAAAGATTTGAGAATGCAAGCACACTATTTAAAAGGCAAAATTTAATCTAATTGTTGGAAAAAAATGGTGAGATTAATAAAACAACGAAACAATATATTTGGCTGCAAAGTCGGTGTCTAGTTTAATTAAAATAAAATAAACCAACATTAGGCTTGGCGTTTGAATTCCCATTTTCTAAAGCAAAAAGCGAGCTACTCACCATTCACCTGTTGAGGCGAATAAGGTTCAGAGCTGGAGTCTGGTGGGGACTCAGGAAGAGTCCTAACAGCAAAGATTCAAGGAAGGAAAGAAAAATAATGGGAATGAATTTAAATCTTACAACACAGACATGCTAGTCTCTAGAAATGTTAAATCTATTTAAATATCTAGCATCAACCACTTCATCTTAGTTGTGCTTTTTTTCTTGTTCTGCACTTTCTCACAACCGGAAAGGTCAGACTTTCTGTTTTTGAGGATATAAGTGGACTCTTTATCTCTGTTATCAGTCCTCCCTCTCATCTTGACTAACACTTTAAATTACTAAAGTAACATTGATAATGCACTTGTTCAAGAGTTGGTTTTTGGCTGTAATGGTGAAGTAAGAGTATTGCATTATGTATTATTAATCGAAATAGAGCTCCCAATTATTAGCAACCTGGTACAGCTGTGGCATAATATGAGAACATTTAATTTTGTTATATTAATTCTGTAAATGAAAATATATCCTCTTTCCCACCAACAAAATAACTGCAACTTAAGTATTTTAAAAATTTTAATTGATACTTAATTTTTTTTTAAGTTGATCAGAGGTTAAACAAATCTTTAATGAGTGATCAATGGTATCATATTTCTTTGGTATATGTTGTTAAAATGGCCAAATGCCATTTCTTTTTATTAAAATGTGAAAGACAAAAGAACAAGAAAGTTAAATACATGTTGAAGTCGTGAGATGGCTGCAACCAAAGCATCCCTAAGAGCATAAAGCAAAATGAAAACCTATTATTAGAGAAGTGCAGCAAAGAGTGGCGTCTTAAAAACATCAGCGCTATCACAAGAAACACTTGCTAGTTACTGTTCACTTAGTCAAACAACGTCTGTGTTTCTGTGCTTGACGAAGGCTGACTGGTTGAATGATCAGGAGGAATCAAACAATGAAACACCTTCAAGTAAAAATAAGTTTGCAGGGTTACACAGAAGTGATTCAGACGAAATATCAGCAGCAAACAACAAAATGCAAACATGTAGATCCTTAATATCTAATAACGTGGTTTTTTATTCTCATGAAAATTAATATTTTCAGTTTAGCTTGTTTTATATTGATAAAGTCAGCAAAAACAAGGGGTTTGTGTGATTGGTTGTTGGCCTTCTGTGATAATTCCACCTTTTTTCAGTCTTACCCCGATAAGCGTTTTCAGGCTCTGCATTGCTTTTTGAAAGTAAAGTAATTCAAATAACTAATTACTTTTGAAGATAAGCAATCAGTAAAGTAACTGGATTGCTTTTTTGGGGAAGTAATCAGTAATTAAAGTAATTGATTACCATTTCCAAATAACTTAACCAGCCTTTTGATAATAAATTCCCAGTTTTTTTTTCTGAACTACTGTGCTCACCCTGGAGCGTAATGGCCTCGGTGCTCTGGCTTGACGTGAGCCTGTTGCTGCTGCTGATGATGCTGCTGCTGCTGCTGCTGTCCCAGGCAGGGGTAACCGTGTCGGAGCCCTAGAGATGGACCCTGGGGGTAGGCGTTCTGACAGCTAGGGGGCCCGGCTGGAGGGGCTCCTTGGCGCAGAGGAATAGGGGGACTCACACCACACACCAATCCTCCAGAGGAGGACACTCCGGCCTGAGGAGATGAATAATTTGGTCCCGGGGTGCTGTGGACCTCTGAGAAACAGCTGGGAGGGAGAAAAAAAGAAGAAGAAAGAAGGGATTAGCCTTATCAGAAAAAAACAAATTCCTTTGTAACAACATGGTTTGCTTTGGTTGGTGCATGTTGTTTTGACGTTGCTGGGCTAGTCTGGAGTCCCTACTGACATGTCAGTGCTATCGTCCTCCTTGCTGATGTACTCTTCCAGGATACTGGTGTCGATGTTGGCTGGCTCTAGAGAACTGGTAATATCATGACCTGTGGAGAAGGGAGGGTTGGGAAAGTGAAGAGAGAAGATGGAGAGCATCTGGGGATTAGCAACAGGAATCTATCAGCCGCTCCACACAATGCCACAACTGCTCAGTCCAAGTGTTGCAACAATTCCCTGACAGATTTATCCCACAAATGTCTTTGTAAGAACTCTGTTGATTTCAAGGTGTAAAATGTGATAATGACACATGATGAGATTATCTTGAACACTTAATGATGATGTTGTGAAATGGAGGGTTGTGATTGGCTCGCGTGAACTGTAGAGATTAAGGTTTCAGAGGAGACAAATAGTCAAAGGATGTGGACATAGTGGTGATTCAGAGTCTCCATCGTTGTTACACAAACTGTTTTGTACTAAAGCCACATTTGTTCTACTTGGAAAAAAAAAATGTTGAGTTAAATTAACCTTATATTTCCAAAAGTATCATTTTTGACATCCTAACAGATGTTTATATCTTCAATAAAGTAAGTGCTTTCCTGCTGTATCTAGACTCTAGATACTCTAGAGATATATGCATTTCTTTGAGGGAGACTTCTATTCATTTTCCTAACACTGGATAGGATAATGGGTAACCACAGGAAATCAAATTAATTTTATAAGCTTCATGACTAAAAATAACTAAACTATCAAAAAGAATATAGAAGAAAATGAAAAATCCAAGGGCTGTTTAAAAATATTTCCAAATGATTCTGACTATTACTTATGACATTCACATTTAAGGTATTCACTAGTCAATTGACTTATTGTTTCTATAAATATATAGAAAATGTTACAAATAATTCTACACAAAAGTATTTCCAAAATCCAACCCAATCTTTCCCCCAGGGTCATTTTCAGCCTTTGATAGGCAAAGCCTTGCAAATCCCAAACACATGACCCCACTTAGTCCTGAAAACACAGACGTAGAATGAACACCTGCTTTTGAATACATCTCTTATAGAGATAATCACCATCAGTTCAAATATTATAATTGAAAAGTAAATATATATTCTTAAAACCTCTAAGATATTTTCCCCAAATGTCAGATTGTGCAAACAGAACAAGTGAGAAAAAACTGACTTGCTGTAAGTGGGTGGGTGGGTGGGTGGGACACCCCACTCTTTTAAAGCCCAAACACCACCCCCATAAACACACACACACACAGACACACACACACACACTCATTCACTCCTCCTCCAATAGATTAGGAAGGTCCTCAGCTAGAAACTTGGGAATGTGAGGAATTTTTGTGTTAGCAGAAAATATTTCACCTTTTCCCTTTTCTCCATCCATTTCTAACTGCCATCAAAACACAACACAAATGTTGCTCCATGCTGCTAGAGTCACAGCTCCTATAATATTTTATCACTGAGTTCTACTGTTTGCAACAAAAGTGACTAATGTGTTATACCATCCAGGAAAAATGGCCCCATTTGAGAACATTTCCAGTGAACAGTCATATCTCATATCTTTCCACCAGAAAAACCCACAAACTTGAGCACTTGTCTCAGACCAATTGGATTTAAGATTTAAAGTTCTAAATCCTTGTGTTGCAATTTTCATGACAAAAAAACAAAAAAAAACAAACAAACAAAAAAAAAAAAAAAATCTTGCTTCTCAGAAAAAAAACAGCTGGTAAATGTCTCCTGATGCATGATAGTAAAAAAAAGAAGGAAAAAAGGCAGGATGGTTCTTTTTAAATAGGATCCAGATGTGCACCCCACCCAAAGAGGCAGTAAATTTAAGCTGGCAGGACTGATAACAGAAAATAGGGAGATATGGGGAAAGAGGAGGGAAGATTGATGGGGCCTAAGGAAGGCTGGGGGCATGAAAAGAGAGGAAAAAGGTATGATGTTCAAGGTTGGGAAGACTTTACAAACAAAGGAAAGAGAGAAAAAAATTGACGTAAAAGCATAGTCCAAGAAACGTGTTCAAAACAAGATGGCATTGAAACTAATAATAGGGTTTGTAATTTTTTTGCTGGAATGACTAGTTAGTTTCCATGCAATCCATCACAATAATTAAGTGTCAAAGGTGTAAATATAGACATGTTCCAAAGTGTATTTAAAATTAGACTTCTGTCTTATCTTGCTATGCCAATGTGTCTAAAAAACAAAGTGTGAAGCCAAAATGTGCATTTTGCAAAACACTAAGCCCTGTTCACTGGCACTCCCCCTTGATGCAAAGGGGAAGTGCCCCTTTGCATCAAGGAATGCAAAGGGGCACTTCCCCCACCTATTGCTGAGCACTGTTGGTCAGCTGGCTGAACAAAGGCCAGTACAGTTTCCCATCATTTATGACTCAGATAAATGCAGCTGTTTGGAATATTTACAGTTACTGCAAAAAATAAAGAGGGAAAAAGCTTAAAAAATGTTTTAATAGTTGGCAAAGATGGATGAGTATGACCATCAAATTCACTCGTCATTTGAATAATAAGTGAATTTGTCTTATTGCTGAAACTCGATAAAGATCAGAATGTCGAAATTACACATCATTTTTAAGGACCCGAAAACTGCTGTTAAATTCATTGAGTTATTATTCTACATTTTTGCTAAAATTTATTAATTAAACAATGATGACAAATTTCAGAGGAAACATTTTTGTTGCAGTAATAATCAATATGTTATTTCATTTAGGTGGGAAAACTGTTGGTTTTATGTTTTTTTTTTTAAACTTAGATACTGCTGATGCTTTTGTTTTAAATAGTATTTGTGCTAACGTTCAGATATTGAGACAACTACCGTGGTTTCATTATTCTGGGAAAATGAAACCATGGTATTTTACTCAAGATTTTCATATAGCTGGACCATGTTCAGCATATGTTAAAAAGTCATTAATTTAACCTTTATTCAGCCAGGATAAAGCTCATTGAGATCAAAGACCTCTTTTACAAGAATGTCCTGACAACAATATAGTTAAACATGTTAAAAACTAAAGAGATGACCTTAGATTTCTTTTGTTGTGGCAGCATCATCTTATTTCTTCCCTACTCTTAATAATCACCTAAAATAAAAAAAATACAACATTCCATACAGAATCTATTAGCATCCTCAATTGGCAAAAGTAAAAAATAAAGAGAAAATAGATCAGACTGTCATTCTCTTGAAGCTACTTCATGCATTTGGCATGCCGAGTTGAGTAAATATTCCTCAGCATTGACAGAACCTCTGCACATGATAACATAAAATTATGAAATGTTATTATTACATAACTGGTGCAACATTTGAGTCATACAGCAACAGAAAGTGACAGCAAAGAAGCCATAAGCGACTCCTATTATTGTCAACCCCTTTTGCACCTGGTTTCAAGCCATTGTTGTTCTGAGGTATTGATAGTTTAAACAAAACATTCTGTGGCTGAAGTCCAGTAATCCGTTCTGTCTCAGTACGACTCAGCATGACGTATCCTGTTTGTGTCAAAGGTCCCATTTGGCACAAAAATGCTCCAAAATGTCAAGGTTTTGGATAAAAGAGCTGAGAAATAAATTATTTACCAAGGGAATTTAAACCTAGTCATTTTTATTATTTTTTATTTTTTTTGTAAAATAACACAAATCTTGAAGAAATCACCCCACTCTAAAAATACTGAGTCCTACTCATCTAGTTGTAAATGTTATTGCTGGTAGATCACTGCTGTTTCGTAAGAATGGGGTACTCCAAAGAAAAAGCTAATTTTCACAACTGAAACTGTTAAAATGTAAAGTTTCACAGTAAACATATTTTATTTTGTTGTCTAATTTTGTTGTGATGTAGCTTTTTTAATACAGCAATGAACAGTAACAGTTTATAATGTCACACCAAAGCAAAAAAAAAAAAAAACTAAAAAATATTCTTCTGCTTATATGCTTATTTTTTATATCAATAATAGCAATTAAATGAGCCAATGTCAATGTAATTTGGTTTAGAGAGAAGACTGACAGAAACGTAGATCAAGCGTGTGTAACGTCTAAATTACTGAATCATCTTAGCTGGCTGTGGACTGAATGTGTAGATTTCCCTGTCCTCTATGTTTTTCTCTGTCCAGCTGTGTCCAGCGGGGAACAGTGAAATGCTTGTCAGCCTGACTTCGATACAGACGTGCCTTTGGAAAGATTAAGGGTTGTGTGAGCATACGCGTGCCCATGTGAACACGCATTTGTTTGTTTTTACGTGAGTGTGTGTGTGCCACCATTTCAATGGCTTGGTTGTCACACAGAGGACAGAGTGTGTGAGTTCCGATTAAAGATGATTTGATGAATATGATTCAGGAAAATGCGGTTTTATTTTGAGTAAGGACATATTCGTCCAGTTTCAGATGTGAGTAGAGAATGTAGCAATGCAAGGTGTGTTTCCTAAGGTAATCTTTGCATTTCATATAATGCATAGAGTTCTTATTTTTATTTGTCATGCCATAAATTGCATTTACGTGAGTCTATTTATGAGTGGCATAAGTTTTAAGCTGTTTTTTACATGTTGACCTCGAGCCAAGCATCATTAAATGATTCCCATTCAGTGGTAAACAAATGTAAGATCATTTTAGCTTCTTTTGCAGGAAAGAGTTTCCCTTAATAGTAGGGGAAATGTGACTTTTGTGTGTATAAGAACTGAAGCCCAAATATCTGCCAAGCCAAGCGACTGTTACTGACAGTATGTTTGCCACTTCCCACTCTTTAAAATTAACTACATAAACACCGTAACTGCTTAAACAAACTATTTTTCTTGTTTATGCTGGTTTCTGTAAGCTTAAGCCTTGTCTTACCGTGCATAGCCTGCTGTAGGCAGGGAGAGCAATGGCGTGATTTACAGATACAACAGCGTAAAGGAACCTTGGAGTGTATAAGAGCTGGCCATAATTTAAAATCTTTGACATATTTTAATGGCCTTGTTTTACTTTCTGACAACTAAGTCACAAAATGACATCAGTTCAGGCAGGATTTCAGACAAATTTAAATGCAGTCAACAAAGAGAACAGAAGAAAAATTAAATAGGTGTAAATCTGTAAAGGACAGGTTACCAAAGCCACATGATAA